AGTCGCATATAGAAGCAGTTGTGAGGGCGAGCAAAGTTTCGACAGGCAAACAAAAATCATAACGGAACCGAGGAGGATTGTGTCGGCGGATTCCCAGGACCTTTTCCCCCCACTCCTCCGCAGTCCACGACCCTGGGTTTCAATGTTTATTAAAAGACAATGTCACTACAGAGGCGAAAAGAAAGCTGCAAGCCCGGAGTGAAAAGGACGAAGGCAAGGACAGCGGAGCTCGCGACCAGAAAACCTCAAAAAGGCATGAAATGTCAGTGATTTGACGCTCGGGGAGATCCGGGTAGTTGGGTCCTCTAGCCAGCCCCTCCAGGAATTGCCAGCTGCTCATATGTAAAGTTACAGTGGGCACTGTGGTGACAACGAATAGAAGCCATACTATCTACTACAAACATATACTTCAACTAACTGAAGTTCTGTGGTTCAGTTGCCTTTTATGCATACACATTTTTGAAGGCTTAGATTTAGTTAGTTTATACGGGACTCCACTGTAGGCAAATGTCAGCAATTGGACTGAGGACTTCGGGCTGAAGTCATTGTAGTCGGGCAACAAAACACACTGCAGCAGCGCAAGAAACACAGCAGAATCCGAATCCGAAAACTGGCAAATGGGAAATGGGAAAACGGGGCAGACTTTTGCTTTTCATTCATATGAAATTACCTGCGGCCAAGAGCTTAATGCCAGTTGGACTGCAAAATCCACTTAGGAAGTTGATACAATCAGTTCCTCTCCGGCCAGAGATGCAACCACTCCATGCCTCCACATCCCACATCCTGCTCCTCCGTTTCCCACTGCATCCTGTGGCCTGCATGAAGGACGAGGATGCGAATGTGGATCTGGCTGTGCATGTGGATGTAGATGGATTCATTAAAACGAATTGCAGCGAGTTTAAAGGCCTGTCCTGCCGCGATGCACACGCGAAGAATTAATATGCACTTTCTTATTGCATTCCCAAAAATATAGAAATTCATTGTATACTTGAGAGGATCGAGGTATTCCAGAATATGCCTTTAAATATACCAAATATCTAGGCCTAATGCTAAAGTGCTGTTTATCATTGCTTCTCGTAGTTATTTCTCCCTGTGCACATATATATACCCGTCTGTGTGAGTCGTTTTTGGGGTTTTGTTTCGGGACTCATTGACGTGCAACATATATGGTGAGGGGCGTGGCTGGTCTGCGGCAACTGGGGATTGGTTTTGTTTGCGCCGCAAAGTATGCAACGGCTGCTGGCTGCAAGGTTTACTGAGACGGGATATAAAGAGGGGCACGGAATTTGGCTGGGCTGCCTTATTTCGGTTGAAAGTTTAGCCCCAACCACAACTGGCCACAAGTGCAGAACGCATTAAAACTGCAAATTAACTGGAGAATAGAGCTGATGGTGATCTGGAAACCCCGACGCCTAATTAGGAGAAGAGGTTCCGCCCTTCGAGTCGCATTCGGTGCCCGTTGAGCTCTGAGGTCTGTTAATTATTTATGCTTTACATTTAAATGCACAGCTTAGACTAAAACACACACTCGAAAACTGGGCGTTCCACGGCCTTTGAGCCGCTCCAGTTTCAAGTGGCAAGTGGATGGGCCTGCTGCTGCTGCTGCTGCTGCTGGGGCAACACTTCCGCGTCGGGAAAATGGGAAAGAAAGCATAAAGCACACACCACACGCCACACACTATACACACACATTCACATGCGGCATACAGCATGTGGCATAAGGGCTGCTCCACACCCACACACTCGCAGAAACACACTGAGAAAGCCAGATAGGCTGGCATATTGTGCTTACGCATACATTTGCGCAGACAAACACAGACCCAAAGAGCATCCTCCATCCAACATCCCACATTCTGCGTCCTGCGTCCTCTATCCCAAATCCGAAGTGGAACCGAGTCGAGTCCCCAGACCGACTGAACTCCGTGTAACATGTTAATGAACTGCGCCAACTGTGTTTGCACAGAACTTAGTGTAATGTAATCCAGGCTGGGCACAGAATCAAGCTGGAACCCTACGTGCACTGCGCAAAATGGGAGATTAATGTTAAAAGGCAAGAAACCCTCAGTACAAGATATTTAGTGGGCAAGTTCTTGATATATCAGAATGTCTAAAGCACAACCGAATATACCGAAGCTCGTTTTAAAGGTGTCCAAGAGCATGACTCCTCACGACTCGGACAAAGACTAATTTACATTATTTGAGTCCAGTGTACCCACCCACACCCACACACACTCTCAGGGACGCACTCACACCTCAACGGGCGATGTGTCGAATGTTACGCTAAGGAGTAACTTTGACATTTACCATTCAAGGCTTATGAGTGCCACCGCAGTGGAATGGGGCGGCGGGTCCTGAAAGGGGAAATGATACCGTGCAAGCCGCCCGGGCAATTGCCTTATGGTTATTTTCATAGCCCTGGCCTGGCCACAAAACTGCGAGCCAAGTGTGACAGCGACATGGCCAGAGGACCTGGCAACTTGAATGGAGGCTGGGCGCCGCCAGTGGGTGGCAAACGGACGCAGGACGAAGGACGAGAGCGAAGGACGCAGGCTGGGCGAGGGAAAAAGTGTGAGTTCGCAACGGCGACAATCCAGCTGGGATTTTCTCATTTTCTTCTGCTCGGCAGAAGAGGTTTTCCTGTTGGTGCTTTTGTTGTGTTAGGAAAGGACACGTGAGTGCAAAGGCCCCGCACACAGGACATCATCAGGTGGAAAATTAAATTGCATTTAAGGCAATTGACAGCCCAAGACGACGGGCCACATGTGCCAGTGAATACCTCTGGAAGGTGCAAAATGCCTTGCCAAATTATTGGACGCAAATTCAAATGTTGACTAGATTTCAGTTGATTGAGGCGGCAGCCCGAAGCTGCGTAAAGTGCACAAAGAGCCGCCAGCTATTCCTTTTATTGTTCCATGTGCAAATCAGGTGCAGCAGCTGGACGTCATGATTATTCATACTGCTGGCCGAAAGTCAGGCTAGATAACAGCCCACTGCCCACTGCCCACTTGCACTTGCTGCAGTGTCATATTAATTTAGTCAAGTGGCCACTCAAATTTGGCCAGGACTACAACTGCGGCGGAGCGAGAGGGCTGCATTGGGGGAGGGAGGGAGATGGCAAGCCAGGATGACGAGGACGTTAAATGTGCAAATGGTCCTTCTTGTCTCTGTCCCCCTCCCGCTGGCAGCCGTCTCTGTCGCTCTTCGAGGCAGCAGCGTCTGTGTGAGATTTGCATAAGTGCAGGCGTATTAGTTGGGGCAGAATGTCACTGACTTTTGTCAGCCGCCCGTCAAATGGGCGCCCAAAAGTGTGCAAAGCGAAAGCGGTGAAAGTAGAACGGATTCGTGGGTGGAGGGGGTGGCCTTTCCAGGGAGTGGCAAAGCGAAATGCCTAATGATTACAAATTGCCCGGGGCAATTTTAATAACCGCCACGACCGCAGAGCAATAAATAAAACTCACAATAAACACATTGCAACAAAGGAAGTGCGGCGGGCGGCAGGAAAAGCTAGAAGCTAAAAGCGGCTTTAATGCATAGCTGCGATTAATATTAATTCCATGCGGTGCAGCGCTCAGTTGGAGGCCATCAAGTCAGCCAGCTAAGCCCGGCCAGCTTTGGGTGCGGGAATGCAGTCCTTGCAGATGCAGATGCAGAGGCTGATGAAGTGAAGTTGATTTCCCTGAAATGGGCGGCGAAATGGGGCTCAAACGCGAGGACAATGCCGCCACATCATGCGCATCATTAGCCGGGAAGCAGAGCCAACTTTGAAGGAGGTCTGATATACACGCAGAGAAACACTAATTAGCAGGGAATTCTATGCATAGTTAGAAAGTAGGCAGCTGATTTTCTTTGCAAACTTTTAAATGCCCCAAAGTACACCTCCCATCTCAGACTTGAATTTAAACTGTGTTTCAAGCGTGCAATTAAGTTGCCTATAATTTTCACCAGTGCAGGCCGTTGCGCCTTCCTACCCCGCATTTTCCAGCTCGTTTCGACTGGCAGAGGTTTTCCTCGTTCGGTTTGTGCTTGAGCAGCGAACTCATCCCAAATCGTGGCTTTGCTTGATGCCAGATAACCGGATTCTAATTGGTATCATAACTCTGGGGTCGCAGCCCGAATTCGATATGCTCAAGAGCTCTTGTCTTGCAACCCCGCTCATCAGAGCATCGCTTCGCACGGTTTTCCCTCATTTGCATATTCATTTTCCACATAATCATCATCATGATTATCGTCAGGCCCGTGTGTGATCCGCACTGATGGAAAACTATCAAATTCATGGAGTAATTAACAGAGCTGCGGAGGGGCAAAATGGAAATGGGAGTCGGGAAATGAGAAGCGTACTGGTTTCACCGGCATTCGGGCGCCTAAAAATAGAATTTAATTTGACTTTTGCCAGTTGGCAGCCGTACACCTGTGCGGAAATCGGAAATGGGTATGGGCATAGCAATAGGGACAGGGATAGGGATCGAGGACCAAGTTCCCCACTGATGTGCTGACAGCATTAATTTGAATGCGGTTGTGTGATTTTGCCGGTTGGCATGTCAGCCAGTTGCTTAAAGCTTAAAGCTTACATTGCAAATTAATTGGGGAAAATCCGTTAAGCAGAGTGAGAATTTAGCCCCCATCAAAATGCAGCATTTCTGGTTCAAATTGGTGCTGCTAAGTGAGAGGATTTTTCTCACTTGCAGTCAGTTATTGGTACTACTAAATCTCGAAAACATTAAAAGTTACAAAGCACTTGGCCAATTTTACTACAACTTTCGCAGCTTCACGCTCAGAAGCTCATAGTTTTTGAGACCACTAAGGCATTATTGTTTAGAAACGAAGGCAACTTTGCCTAAAAGCAAATATTAAAGCTGCTGTGCTAATGGAATCAGGTGATTAGTGCTAGGAATACACAGAGTACACTGAATAAACAGTATTTCACGTCCAAAAGCTGCAGTCTGCTGGCCCCATTCGCGCAATTCTGACTCACTTGTTTCTCTGTTTTTTCTATCTTGCAGCTCTCCGGTGCTCGGCAAAGGACAAAACTAATTTATGGCATTAAAAATGCATATTTTCTAGCAGTGCGTTGCCGGTTTTTATCATTTGCCAGGAAGGCAAAAGGCGCAATCCACCAGCAGCTGTGCCAGCAAAAGGAAGCTGAAAGTAGACACGTCGGTCGAGAATTGGATTTGACTGCGGAGCATTTTGAGTTCGAGTCCGAGTCCGAAAGTTCTTTAGTCAGCAACCGAGGAAGCGCAGGATAATTCACATTTTTCTCACGGCACTGGCAACGAAATGGCTTTCCTATGTGCACCGGTAAGTTTTCGCTTTATTTGGCTTCCTTTTATACCCAAATACCGACATGCATCATGCCCCGATACTGCAGTAAAAATTATAAGGAAATGGTTTGCACTTATGGCGAACATCATTCTTAACGTGCCATACGCGGCGTATGCGTGATATTTTATCCATTCAACTTTTCCGCGCTCGTCACTCTTCGTTCGCAAGTGATTTTAATAATGTGAAAAATGTCAGATCGTTATGCTTAAACTGCCGCATGAAGCGTAAGCGTTATGGACCCAAACTCATGCATTGATGGATTGCAGGCGGCGAAATTAATCATACGCCGTGTGCGCTGCAACAGTTATGCCTCTTTAAGGGCGCTGCCACATGGTGAGTGCTCTCCTGTGGCATGCGACATGCGGCATGTTGACAAATAAACACATGCCATAATACGTGGCTAACTCCGGCCGAGAATAACGAAAACAACAGCTACGGATGGATAGATAGAAGCCGAAAATTGAGAGTTTGCCTTGTATTAACAGCTGCCCGCAGTGTCAATATTCCTCGTAGATTCCGAGCATCTCATGGATGCGGGATGCGGCGACTTTGCGAGAGCAACAAGCAAGGACAATGGCGGCATCGCCATCGCCATCCTCATCCACATCGGCAACCCGAAAGCCAACAGCCAAGTCAAGCTGGAGGCCCATCTGCCGAACGGTGGGCCAGTGAAGTTTCATATTTTAGAAGTTTCATATTATAGAGAGCTCAACAGATTTCTATGCCTTTGAGTGTCCTTTGAAAAAGATAAATATGCCCAAAGATAGAACTTTCTAGCCTTTCTTCTTCTGCTCTCTCTGCAAGTCAAATGATTTTGTAATTCGGTTGGCCTGCCCTAAAATGTGCAACATTTTCACTGTGTGCTCCACTGTGCGAAACTCGAATCCTTCGCCGTTCTATCCCTTTTTGCCAGTGCCGTCGACTGGCGGCTGTTGTGAGTGCTGATTGTCAAGTGCTCGACCCAGACACGTGCTTACACAGCTATCCACAGCTATTCTGCAGCTGCCACGCCCACTCCGCCGCCCCTCTCAATATTTGTTGAATTTCGAGTTAAGCAAACGTGCAAGTGTATTTAATTTGTGATATCATCGAGGGGCTGGAGGGCGGGCAGCAGTGAGGTCACTCGGCTTACCCGATCCTTGGCCAAGGGTTTCGGTGAGCCAGTCTGTGTGAGCTGTACGTGTGTGCGTTGGGCCATTAATGCGGCATTTAAGGATTTTGCGGTCTGAGCTGCATGCACTTCAATGGTGAGGGTGGTGGTGAGGTGGTAAGGGGCAAGGGGCAAGGGGCCAGGGGCAGAACAATGCCACATTCAAGTGCATTTGAGCAGCAATAATTTTTGCGGTGAGCAGAGACAAAAGCCTATTAATGAACACACAACAACAACAGCTTGCATTCTCTGTGGCTGCAGGTGTGTCTGTGTCTGTGTGTGTGTGTGTGTGTGTGTGTGTTTCATTTAATCAATCATGTATTTAGCAGACAAATCGCTTAAGACAAAAGCCCCCCAAGAAGCCGAGTTAAAAGGCTTTTTATCATTGAATTTGAACATGATTACGTCTCTGAATAGATGGAATATCTGTGTCTTTATGGGGCGGCGGCCGCTTTCAGTTTGTGCGGCTCGTTAATTGAATTTTAAATGACTCCCTCTCGAAAAATGATTAGCGGCCTCTCATGCATAAATAAGTTTTCGATTCTGTTCGCTAATTTGATTTGCCGTCGAGCGCTGACAAAGGGTATCAATTATCGTGGCCAGCCTAGAATTATGCCGCAAGGATGGCATAATGCCCGATTACTCCCGATGGGGCAGGACGAGCACTGGGAGGTTGGAGGCCACTTGTCATAGCTGCCAGAGCAGACATTTGCTGCGCACTGGAGGCAACTTTTGCCAGTGACCAGGCCTCGTAGTTTCTGCACCGTGAAAAAATGTGAGGAACTACCAGTAAGTTGCCCCTTCAGGAGGAGCTCGAGTTGTCCAACTTAGGTTCTCTAAAGTGCAGCTTGGAACGGCCATGTTTGCAGCCCAATATTCTGGTTCTAGACAAGCCATAATCTCGAGGCTCTGCTGTGGAATGCTGGCTAATAACTTTTGCCGTTGACTCTATCAGCCCTCATCTTGATTGGCCCTAAAGTTTGGACTCCAGCAGGTTGTGTGTAGCGCATATGCACATGTGTATAGTGTGTGCAATTTTGATGTTTTTCCGTGCATGAAGGCGGTCCGCACTCACACATTTCTCCGCGCCCATGAATAACTGCTCAATGCCCAAACTCACACACACACACACACACACACACACACACACACACACTCGCATGGCCGACTGCTTGCGTCATCAGCATCGTCAGTGGAGTAGCAGCCTTGGCATGCAGTCAAAACGCAGCTTCTGCCCCCCACATTCGCCTGGGCCGTGGTGCACAACTATTTTTCTATGTCAGCGGACAGGACGCAGGACATGGATGCAACTGCCCCAGACTGCGGCGGAGGCCACTGGATGTCATCAACTTTGCTTTGGCTCTGCCCAGAGAGCCTCCGCAAAGGCAGGGCAAACAAAAAGCTTAACCTCAGCACAAATTTAAGCAAATATTTGCCCGGCCTCCACCTTTCCAGCTTTTCGCCCCCTCATTTCCTTGCAACTCCATTCCTACGTCCTGCCTTCGTCCGCCTTGCAATTCCATTGATGCAATTGAAGCCGGAAGCAGTTTACCTTTATTTTGCCTCTTTTTGCGGTGTCAGCAAAGAGCTTAACATTAAGCAGGTGCAAGGCGGCCACAGAGAGAGAAATCATCAGTTGCCCATCAGTTGCGCTTGAAAACTGCAGGTTTCAATCGGCTAGTTGCTGCCAAATTAAACTGTCACGTCTTTTCTAAGGAAGTACGCGCAAGTGCATTTGGAAATTTAAAATGAAGAGTAGCTTGGTTGTAAATCCTCGCAGTGTGCCGGGGATTCCCCCGATCCCCCCGATCCCCCGATTCCGGAGGAAACGACGTTCGACATTCGCTTGATGCATGCACGATTTTAATCGGTTAAATGCGAGGGGAAAATGGGGCAATGCAGCCATATCTGCCGAGCAGTGCCAACTAATGATGCGCAAAATGTTTACAAATCATTTTGTCAATACCGAGGAAGGGATAAAGGACGAGGGATCCTCCGCACATCTGAATCGGCCATAATTTGCCCACATTTCTTGCATTCATCCGCTGGCTGGAGCGGCCATGAAAAGGTCATTAGTGTGTGCGTGTGTGCGCAAGTGTGTGCTTGTGTGTGACACAAATGGCCATTCAATATGCCAAGAAAGGGTCGTGGGCAGGGGGATGGGTGGGGGGGGGGGGGGGGGGAGGACATGAGCTAAAGCCAAAGCCATAACAGCCACATGCTTTTTTCCACAACATTAACGCAAATTGCAAATAATAAAAATTCAAAATACCGAACCGTAGAAAAAGCAGCACGTGTTGCTGTTGTTGTCCGCCCACTGTAGTGTGTGTGTGTGTGTGGGGCTTCAAGTGGGTGGTTGGGTGTGTGTGAGGACGAAGTGGGGTGCTTAGGCAAAACCACAACAACGAGAAGCCAGGGGCACATTTATCGCAGCCAACGAGGCATTTTTTAAGTCCTGCAAAGGTTTGCATATGGCCAATGCGAACAAGAAATAGTTGGCGTAGATGGAGAAAAAATCGTGCACCATGGAAAAAGGGGGAAAACTGTGTTGGGTTTCCCAGGGTGAATTTCCTGCCATTGAGTCCTAATTGATCCTTTTGCGGGGAAGCCCTGTAGGAACTGCAACTTGAACTTTGCCAATGTCCAGGAGGACAGTAAAATGTAAGAGAATTCCATCGACTTTTTTTCGTAAGTTATATAAACAAGTCACCTCTTCTGATAAGGAAAACTGATATATCTGTGCATACCGCGGAACTCGCTTGCCAGGGAATCAAAGCGGAAATTCATTTTATGCAGAGGCACGCAGCCCGGCCAAATCCTGCGGATCGGCCGCCCACGTATGAGCTTACATGTATATGTATGTACATATGTATGTGTATGTGTATGTATATGTGTGTATATGGGCGGGGTCCTTTTCCTTTTCTCCGGTCCGTGACTGGCGAGGCGTTGGCGTAAATGCTTTGCGTATGCATCCATGCATGCGACGCCATCTCGTGCAGCCTCGTCCTTAGACCTTCGTCCTTAGTCCTTCGTGCTTCGTCCTTGCACCCCATCCTTCATCCTGGCTGCTCTTAACTGGACCCAGGACCCGGGGCTGCGGAGCTGGCATACAATTTATGTGCGAAATATGGCGCCGCACACCTTTTACTTTTGCTCCGCAACTTCCTTTGCCTTCTCCTTCCTTTGCTCCCACTTGCCCCGTTCCTTTGCCGCTGCTTGTGGCCAACCTGCCACGTGCGGCACAAAATTAAAAGCCTTTGCATGCTCCACTTCCAATCTCAGCGAGTCCTGCGGAACTCTTGTTCGTTGCAGCTGCACTGGGCGAAACTGGGGAGCAGAGCTCAAGGGAGCTGTTGCGATGTGACATCAAAATGTATCTCGAAATAAATGTATCTCTAATGGCCTGCTATTTTTTCTATTCCTCCCGCTTCGAATTTGCGACTGTCTAGCTGGCCAGAGTAATGACATGGCGACCATTGGTGACCTCTCGATGATCTCACCGCCCACGTCTTCCATCTCGAACGACCAAGATCCGTTTGGACAGCTGCCACCGCTACCGCCGCCACTGCGTTCCACCCAAGTGCTCCAGCCACTGAGCGTGTTTCCAGGTGCCCCGCCAATTATTTTGGATTTTTTGAACATTTTTGAATTACTTTCTGCGTATTTGGGTGCTGTGCATACATACATGTACAGGCGCCACTTTGTGTTTGTTCTCCCTGTTGTTGTTTGCCTGCAGTTCTTCGGCTTTTGTTTGGGCATTATTTGTTTGATTTCCATTTTTATTTTACATTTTTTTGCATTGAGTGTAGCTTTTTGCCGCCCATTATGGGCGTTACTGTTGCACCTTTTGTATAATATTTCTGATTTGGTTTCCTTTCGTTTTCTGTTGCGCCATTTCCAATTGATTGCAACTTTAATTGGTGTGTAGATTGGGTCTTTGATTGGTCGGTTCGTTGATTTATTTTTCTTTTTCATTCATCCACACATACACTGCCTGCTCCACATCAAACACGAAACGCGAAACACCAAACACCAAACACGACACTCATAGCCCACCTGTACAGGTGTAACCCTGTACGACCACCACTAGCTACACTCGAACTACACCGCCACCGAGAACCGCATTTTGCCCCAAAACTTTTGTTTAGCATTTTCAGCAGCCGATTTCATTCAGTCGATCAATCAATCAGTCAAATCTCAAATCCAATCAGTCCAACACTCGCCCATTAAAATGTATCGAAACTTTCGACTCTCTCTCTCTCTGTCTCTCTCCCACACACACTCTATCTCTCTCTCTCTCCATTTTTCTAGTTCTATATATTTGCCTGCCGTTTGTATTGCCACTTTTTGACTATATGAAATAAGAGATTTGTTTGTGTTGCCGCCACAAGAACCCGGTTCATTTCAAAGTTTCCAATTTTTCAAGTAGTTTTCAACGCTGCTGTGTGTGTGTGTGTTTTTTTAACGAAATTGTTTATTAGAGCAAAGCCAAAAACAAAAAGCGAGTAATGGTTGCCACGGCCGCTTTGTAACAATTTTTTAACGCAACAATTACTGTGTGTCCACCGCCTTTAGCTGCCTTTTTGTGTGTGCTGTCCAACGTGAAAAACGAAATCCAGCTAACGAACTGCCCCATTTTGTGCTCTCTATTCTTCCATAAATACCAACAACTACAACTACAACAACAACTATGAACTACAAACAACAACAACAACAACAAAATGATATATGAAAAATGAAAATGACAAAATCTCGACCACCGAAATATTTGCCTGGGTTCTAATGTTTATTTTAATGTTTGTCTTATTTTAAACAATATTTGTGTATCGCATAAAACGTGTAGAGTGAGTATAAGAGATAACGAAAAAGGAAACAAACAGCTTCTGTTTTTATTTTTGAGTTGTTGGATTTAATTTCGCTTAAGTTTGTGCCGCTCTCTGTGTTCCTCTGTTGGTCCCCCAAAAAAAAGTGTCTGACTTGTAATTCTAAAACCATTTCACCCCGAATGGCAGTGTCCAATTTGAGCGAAGATTCCTACGATTATGTTTTTGGTGGTCGACGTAAGACTCCGCCCACAACAACGTCTACACAACTCAAGCTGACCTCACCGCCCGTGCGTTTGCGACCCGAAGGTGGGTAGTCCTTTCCGCGAGAGTCCTGCATGTCCTGTGGAAGCTGCAATCACAAGCGCCATGCAGGACCCTCTGCTCAGCCACCCAGAGCACAGATATAACCAGAATCCCATCTCCTACTTTCATCACGTGCTGCCGCTGAACCCGTAGACGCCTATCGCGGAGCCAACATAAACAACGGAAGGTTCTATCGCCACTCCTTCAGCTACGCCCCCAAAAGGCAGCGCCACTCGAGTCGGGATGATCGAGACCGCGAGTCTAGGTTGAGATGTCATGGCGAGGACGAGGCCACACTGCGCCAATTGCTGCTCGAGTACGTAGAAGCAGGAGTCCTGAAACAGGAATCCTAGATGGTGGGGCAACCACGCCGTCCTCCGATCCGCCGGCAAGTGGGGCGGAATGTGACCTCGTTATGGAGGAGCAGGTGGCCTTCGGGGCCAGGAGCTCATTACGGGCCATTAATTTGCAGGCGCGAGCGGAGGATTGGCGGAGGTTGGCCGGCCATAAATATGCGCTTTCAGTTAGACAAATAAACAGCAATTATTTGTGTGCGCCATGTTTATTTAATTTATTAAACAAATAACGAACGATACGTGTTTTTAGTTGGGGCGCAAATAAATTTGCATTTCCATTTTAATTTGTGTGCCATTCGGTGGGCTCATAAACAAGGATGAGCCCTCAGCTCCGTTTTTCGGTTTTTTGGTTTTTTGGTTTTTCGGTTTTATTTCTGTGGCCTGTGATATATTAACGAGCAAATATGCAATGTATATGTTTAATGTTCTCCTCCCACACAGATTTGCGCAAGTTATGTTCAGTTAAGTGTCCTGCGTGTGTCCTTAGACTGTCAATTATTCATTGAGGGCCCTTGTGTTGTGTTGTTTTTGTTGCGCAACCTCCCCGACAAAAGATATCACATATAGAACCCGAAAATCAAACGCGGCCATACGACATTCACCAAACCCCGAAAAGAAAAGCGAGAAAAGCGAGAAAAGCGAGAAAAACGAGAAAAGCAGTGAGCAGAGACTTTATGAGCAAAAGCAGCATTATAAATACATAATTATTGTAAAAGAGACTCTATAACTAATCAATTTACCCACGGAGTCCAAAGAAAAGCCAACAAAATGATGGGCACAATGCCACCCAGGTACATAACCATAGAGTTAATCTAAAAATTAATTAACTTTTACATTAACAATAACAATAACAATAGCGACCAGATCGCGCTGCGATTAAAACCAATTCGAACATCACTCATCCGCCATGTATGCAAAGCACACGTTTCGTTACGTTACGTTTCGTTACGTTTCGTTTTATTGTTTCGTTTCATTAACCATTCAACCATCCATTCGAGCTGATTGTGTGGCGCATTAATAACTGCGTTCGTGTAAATTTAACTGGCTTCTTCTCATCGTTAATTAAAAAATGTTAATTAGCAGCATTTGTTTGTCGTTTGCTGCCATTTTGCTTTCACACAACCGCCTTTGTTGCTATGTCACGCGCTGTACAAAATTGCAATTCAATCGAAACGTATTTGCTTTACTTTGCCTCCACGTCACCGAGTGATTGAGCACATGTGTCTGTAATTTGATTTCCAAACTACCTGTCAATCACTTGAGTACGTACTAGGGATGGCAAATTCACGGGAATTTATCGCCAAGGAGATTCCCTTGGTATGATAGTAAATCATTTTTGGAATAGTAAAGTATGCAGTAATAAAGTATTGACCCATTTGGCATCCCTAGTACATGCGTGCTATGTATTTTCTACTTGTGTGTAAATGCCTGCATTGCCAGAAATGCATTTCGCCAAAAATGCAGACGATGCAAAACCGAAGGAAGACCGCAATTCTGACGAAATGCATTTCTCGCGTGCAACCAAAAGCCCTGCCTCACATGTTGTACAATGTCTATACGTGTTCTTTATCATCCGATTCCCGTACCCCTTTGAACCTCTGAAACTGCCACCACAACTCCATGACCTCCATGAACAACAACAACAATAATTATAATAATAACAACAACAAATCAACCATCGAAAACAACAAAAGCCACACGCAAAGTGGCCTGGTATTCACACCACTCAATGAGTATGCAATTACAACCAACTAACTTCAATTACGAAATCTAAATATTTTTGCTCTATTCCCTCGCCATATTGTAATGCAATAATAATCGAATGATTTAGCCCCTTTTCTCTGCATTTTGCACTGCTCTCTATTTTGGCACTCGTAGTCCCTCAAACTGATTTGTTAATTATTAGAACATTTGCCCGAAATCCACTCACTTTCGCATGGATTGCAATTAGAATTCAATTATGTTCAAATCAATTAATTTAGTTTCCGAAACGTGCTCATCATCATTTGGGCGCAAAAAATAGAGAGAGCGTTGAAAGTGTGGGTGTTGCTGTGGGTGGCTGTGAATGCCCCATTTTGGCCCTCGAAACCAGAACAGAGATAAAAAATTACCAAAAAATAAGTACATTTCAGGGATTAATTTCCTATGCCAAACGTTAAAGTAACATAGAATAAAATAGCAAATAATGCAAAGTAAAAGCTAATATATATATGCTACATTGTTGGATATGTTAAGAACTCGTTATAGGTGATTACGAAAGTGATTTGTTGGGCACTCCGAATATAAATGTAAAAGTATTCCCACCGCAATGAAATAGCGCAATTAAAAAGTCCCGAAAACGGGCATACAGAGTGATTTATTTTTCTCTGTGCGGTTGCCAGTAGGCTGTGTTTTTTATGACAAGCCGAAAAGTGTTTGAGGGCCATTAAGCCGCTGTTCGCACCGCACACGCACACGCACACACACTCACACTCGCACACACACTCGTGCGCAGCCATGTAAAGCCATTGACAAACATCCTTTGGCCAGGCAGTCAATCAGCCTGCGGTTGGCCACTTCAGCAGCGCTCTCTCTTATTTGCCACCGCCCCCATTTCCGCCCCTGCATGTCATCAAGTTCATAATTAGCTTAACCTCCTTACCCCAAAAACCCCCTTTCGTGCGTAATCCCTGTCAATGCATCACTCAGTCAGTCAGTCAGTCAGCCAGTCAGTCACACAATATCTGCAGGATTTTTCAACTCGTTTAATGTCCCTCCTCCGCTTTTGTTGCTTGTGTTTTCGGTTCTGCAATGAATTACTGTACACTTTTTATGGTTTAATGCTCGATGTTTAAATGTTTGCCACAGACAGAACCCAGACTAATTGGCGTAGCGGTGCCTTCACCAAAATTAACAGAGAACCGAAAGTGAAAACTGTAACAAACAGATACTAGCGCATTTGTTTTCCGTTCATACGTTCATTTTGGCTTTGCATATATCTCTTCCCAAAAGCGAACTCAAACAATTTCATAATCCAAACAAAATGTTAATCATGCCAATCATACAAAATATTGACTTGCAAAACGAATTCAACGAGAGCACAAATAAATTCAAATTGATTTACAAATGCCAACGCAACGCGGCCTGTGCAGCAAAAGTTTATGAGAGTCGACACAAAAACAGGCTGAAAAACAAGTATTTGCAACGTTTGGTGAATGTCCTATATGCCAATTGGTTTGAACACCCCGATTTTCCTCGATTTTCCTCGCTTCCCCCGATTCCCCCGATTCCCCCATTCGATCTGATTGATGAACCCTACATACAGCTTTGCGAGATGTATGAGAACAATCGATTTTGATTTTAATTTATTCGCTGAATTTATTGTGTGCACTGAGATCTGAACTGAACTTTATCTGTAAGTGAAGCGAGTCTGGAAACTTGACGGATGGCAAACTCTGGCTGCGGACTCGCGGCGGGTTAATGTGATTGAAATCCTGCCCAGGGATAAGCCGCTTGTGTCTCGTCAAATATGTGATATTCCTAAAACAGAGCGCAGCTCATAAAAAAGGAGCAGCTCGCATGGCATCCCGAGTCCTGAAATCACTTAGGTCGGCGGAACACGTACACTGCAGCTTTTAATGAATGCACAAGCCGGGGAGAAATTGGCAGAAAATTTATTAAATGCTCACGTATACAAATCCCCTATACAAAGGCGAAACCGAAAACCGAAAACAGAAAACAGAAAACCAAAAACCGAAAATTCCTGCAGCTGACAAGCACACATACACGCACAGGCGGCAATTGTTTTCGCAGAGAACAATAACTTGCACAGGATGCGCTCGAGTATCTCGTCCTGGTTCTGGTTCTGGTTCTGGTTTGCTCTCGATTCTGTTTCTGTTTCTGTTTCGGATTCGGATTCGCATTCGGTTGCGCTGGCTGATGTATGCATAAAATAATCCTTTTATGCCCGGCACAACAATGTCCGTGAAATGCAAAACAATAACAGTGCTAACGATAGCATCCCCCGCGCTGCCCCGCAGGATGCCCGTGCCCTCCTCCGGTGTTGCATTAACATAATGCGCAGGCAACTCGAGCAGGGCCCACGTGTCGTATGCGCAATGTGCCCCACTCATGCATTTGCACATACACGCGTATATCGGCACGCCGCCATCCGCTGGCAACACTTTGTTGCAATGTGATTTAGATGCCGCCCACGAGCAAACAAAGCACAAAGTGCACCTTCCGACGCGGCCAGATATTCAATATATATAAGGGTTTTCAATGCACTTTCATCCAATTCAGGGCAACAAAATTCAAGTTAAAATCTTCGAGCAACCAAAGTAACTAATATGTGGCATGCATAGGCGTTCTTATAAGTTGCACAACTTTGGCTGCAGCGCAAAGAGCGCAGCCGCTCTGTTTTCACAGCCCTTGCGGTTGATGGAAATGTAAATTTGATGCATTCCAAAGGGGCACCGGATATAAACAGGATTAAAACTACAAGCTTGCCAGCCATCTATCTATCCGAAACAGTTGCCAGCAGAGCAGCGGAGTAAATGGGGCCAGAGTTCAGAGCTGAGCTGGCTTAAATACAAATACCAGCGTATATATAATGCCGTCAAGTTTCCATCCTCGTGCATTGTACATTACTCTTGCCTTAACCTTAACGAAATATGCCAACAATTTACTTTAAGTTACTTTTTATGTACTTAGTGGCCCGGCTCGGCTATTATTGTTGTGCTCGCTCCGCCCAACACAGAAATCCTTTCTTGGACTTCTGCCCAAGGAGCTGAGTGACTAAGGAACTCGGCGACTGGCGTGCGTTTCAGTTTCAGTTTCAGCTTCAGTTTTTGTTTCTGCCCTCGGTTGCGAGCTGTGGCCCATAAAATTTATGTTGCCTCATTCCTCAATAATTGCATAGCTCAGTAAATTTTAATGCAAGCGGTCATAAATAATTTCGTTTTGTTTGTGTTTGCGTTTGTGTTTCGTTCATGTTTTGCGTTCAGCGTTTTACGTTTTGCGTTTACTCTGGGCCAGAGCGAAATAAATTACGTATACGCTAAATAACTCTGTCTCAGCCTCGTAGTGGAATAAGTACTTTAAGGAATGAACTCGAAGGCATTTCCCCACTGGCGCACGACTAAATGCATTTTGTTTGATATTCTCTTTGGCCTTTGACCTGGCGACGCCGGTCACCCTGGTGACCCTTTGCCCTTCCACTGACCCACAGTTTGCAAAAGCAAGTTAGCGTGATGAGCATGAATCTGTCAGCGAAACTCGATGAGCTGCAGCGGGGAGATCGACACCTGGAGACGACGGTGGCCCTGTGCGAAATCCGCACCCAGCTCCAGGAGCTGACCAAATCCGTGGAGAGCTGCCAGAGCGAGGTGTCCGAGGTGAGTTGCCAGTCCAGGCGCCAGTTAAAGCACTGGAAAGCTGGCCAAATTCAAAGCAAAGTGTCACGAACTGATTAACTAAGGCTGATGCCAGCCAATGAAGTGCCTAAAGCTGGACATTGCTTAGAAGTTGGAAGAAACTGCAGGATTCTTTGTTAAATGAATGACTTCCATTGACAACCAGGTGAAGCGCGACATGGTGGCGATCAAGCACGAACTGGACACCGTGCAGCAGGTGAAGGAGGAGATCGAGGAGCTGCGCGAGTACGTCGATCGACTGGAGGAGCACACGCACAGACGGAAGCTAAGACTTTTAGAACAAGTTTGTAGCTTAAATTATTTGCCATGTTGTGTAATTAAATACTTGAATTTCATTTCTCTATTCATGTACAAACCGAAACACCAAGTACCAACTACCAACTACCAACAACCAACAACCAACAGCCCAGAGCCAGACAACCACACGACCAAAAACCACCCAGAACCACCCGAACATCCATCCACCCAGCCACACTAAACCACTGAGGGCAGAAACTGCCACCATGACGGACAGATGCAAATGCTCTTCGGATTGGTCCCAGTTTCTGTCCGCACTCAAACAAATTTCTGCCCCATAACAAATTGTACAAACAGTGTTCAAATTCCAGTATAAAAAGTGACTAGCCATTTGAGAGCGTCACACAGATTTGTTTGAGTGTACTGCACACGTACAGACGGCTTCTTCATCAACGTATCTCAAATATTAGCTGTCTAATTAGTTCTTTATCATTTATTATTATGTGTTTGTAGCAAAATCAAATAAAGACATGCGAAAAATGTTAATAAAACTTTGATTTGGTTTGGTTTACAGTATGGTTTCCCACATCCGAACACTTACATGCATCAGAAAGTATCTTATTGTTTCGTTACCCTGAGTTTCAATTAGAAAATTGGCCTTATCCAAAGGGAAAGCTTTGGTTTCCTTGACGCACACTCGTTTGCAAAGCGTTTGATGGACCCGCCCGCACAGCCCCCACCGTCCCGCCCCACCCCGCCCCGCCCCGCTCCCCCAACAGTATGGTTCCCCACTAATGGCATTAACAATCACAACTTCCAGGGTCTCACCTTCTTCCTCACCTACTCGATTTTCTCGGCGGTGCTGGGCATGCTGCAGTTCGGCTACAACACCGGCGTCATCAACGCGCCCGAGAAGAACATCGAGAACTTCATGAAGGACGTCTACAAGGACCGCTACGGCGAGGACATCAGCGAGGAGTTCATCCAGCAGCTCTACTCGGTGGCGGTGTCCATTTTCGCCATCGGCGGCATGCTGGGCGGCTTCAGCGGCGGCTGGATGGCCAACCGCTTTGGCAGGTAATTTAATCGGCTCACACCAATAAAATTGCTCAAAACCTAATGTGATATATTTTGCTGGAATTGCAGAAAGGGCGGCCTACTGTTGAACAACGTGCTCGGAATTGCCGGCGCCTGTTTGATGGGATTTACCAAAGTTAGTCATTCCTATGAAATGTTATTCCTTGGCCGATTTATAATTGGTGTTAATTGCGGTGAGTAGCTGCCTTGCACTGCATATGCAGTAATGCAATCATTGATTAACTTGTGTCTTTAAAGGCCTCAACACGTCGCTGGTGCCCATGTACATCTCGGAGATAGCGCCACTGAATCTGCGCGGTGGCTTAGGAACTGTTAATCAATTGGCTGTGACCGTAGGTTTACTATTATCCCAAGTGCTGGGCATCGAGCAGATACTCGGCACCAACGAGGGCTGGCCCATCCTCCTGGGCCTGGCCATCTGCCCGGCGATCCTGCAACTCATCCTGCTGCCCGTCTGCCCGGAGTCGCCCAGATACCTGCTCATCACCAAGCAGTGGGAGGAGGAGGCGCGCAAAGGTACCAGTCCATCATCCTTGATACGAGTGATACCCTCTAACCAATGCTTCCGTAGCCCTGCGCCGCCTGCGAGCCTCTGGGTCCGTGGAGGAGGACATCGAGGAGATGCGGGCCGAGGAGCGGGCCCAGCAGTCCGAGAGCCACATATCGACCATGGAGCTGATATGCTCGCCCACCCTGCGCCCTCCCCTCATCATCGGCATCGTGATGCAGCTGAGCCAGCAGTTCAGCGGCATCAACGCCGTCTTCTACTACTCCACGTCGCTCTTCATGAGCTCGGGATTGACTGAGGAGAGCGCCAAGTTCGCCACGATAGGCATCGGCGCCATAATGGTAGGTCTGCCCAGCTATCAAGGAACCTCTCCAAGTGTCCAAGAGTACTCAATGCACAGGGATCGCTGTAAAGGATCAGGTTTCCCGCATATTGCCGCTTACTACTACTTACTAGTGGACACTTGGAAGCTTGGGAGTGGTTTCAGTGGCACCACAAACATTGTTTTTACAAGACATGGCAACTAACTGGAATGCACTATTCTTGCACAGGTTGTCATGACGCTCGTGTCCATTCCGCTGATGGATCGCACGGGTCGCCGGACCCTGCATCTCTATGGCCTGGGCGGAATGTTCATCTTCTCAATCTTCATCACCATTTCGTTCCTGATCAAGGCAAGTATTGGGGTGTCCAGGATTCTCGAGTCCTGCTCCTGCTCCTGTAGAGTAATGCCTGCGAATGTGAATGCCAAAATGCCTGCCAGTTTGGGTTTGCATTTGTTTATCCCCGCCCGTTTAGTGATTTGCATATGACTCTGAGCTCCTAGAACGCTAGAACTTGGCCCATACCACTTACCACTTACCACATACCATGTCCCATTTCCCAGTTACTCCAAGCGAGTGCGTGCGTTTATAAATATTTAAATATTAATATATTTTATGCATGAAGTTGTGTTTACCCCGTCGAGCCCCCAAAACATGAAAAACCAGTACATAAAAACACTCGCCAACACACACGTAAGAGCATGACAGTTGTCCCGCGCGTATATCTATAAATTATTGATGTGAGATATATTTGAATTTATAACAAGTTGGATTTATGACTCTCGCCCAGCCATTAAACGTAGCCTTTTTTCAGTTTTTTCCGTGCTTACGTTGATGTATTGCATTTAAGTCATAGCCGTATGTGTGTTTAATTTATGGGCCAAAACTTGGTCACTTTAGTTATTAATTACGTCCTCTATCTGCGATTTGAAAATATGTTTGCGCAGATTGTGGCCCATGCATGATTAGCTTTGGAATGCTTTTTTTGTTAGTTATGACATTTTTGGTTGGATTTTTTACGGCTTTCATAGCTTGTACACACTGTTTGCACGTGGCTTGCCAATAGATATATTTACTTTTTCAGTTGCCTAGGCTAAGTTGTTGCGCCTGCGAGCTGGACCTCCAATTGGTATATAATCAGGCACTTGTTTTTGGGTGTGTCAAGCATTGAAAGACAGGTTCCTGATCTGAAATATCCTGGCCAGCCGCTGGCGCAATTGTCCCGCCCCTAATTAGAGCTATTCTCGACTTGGCAGGCTTTCGCCCCACAAAACACTCACTCGAAATCGGTTGACGAATTCGTTCTGTTTATGATTTATACGCTTTGTTTTCCGCTAGTGGCAATCCACACAGTTTCAAAGGCAAGCAAAAGTTCCGACAAAAAGCAAAACCAACACACAACTCAGCAAAAGTTTTCCGGGCACCAGTTCCACCAGCTCCCCCAAAATGGAGAAAACAAAAAATATAGAGCAGAGCACCGCGCTGAACTCGCTTTAGAGGTGTCACCACCTCCCACACACGAAACTCTCACACAGAAACCAGAACACTCAATGTGACCTCAAGCCATAATTTAAACTCTTTGTTTGGTACTTGTGTAAGATATAGCTAACTTTACGTACAACTAAGCATTCCTAAGCATTCCTAAGCATTCTGCGACCCAGAAAGACTCGAGCGGCAGTTCAGAGGTCAACTCTTTGAGAACCAAGAAAACGAGACCAGCCAACTCCAGTTCTTATCTTACTTAGTACTTTCGATACTCTAACCAACTCATGCATAAAAGAGATCAGGCTTATCAGGCGGTTGTGGTCTATATTCATCCGTATTATTTCGAAGACAGTTCGTTAAGCGCGAGTAGAGGAAAAGCCTACATCGAGAATGCGAGTACTATGCATTTTGTATAGGAGTTCTTTGGTTATGTGCAGGAAATGATCGACTGGATGTCCTACCTCTCTGTGGTGGCCACCCTCGGCTTCGTCGTCTTCTTCGCGGTGGGACCCGGATCGATACCCTGGATGATCACCGCGGAGCTCTTCTCCCAGGGACCGCGGCCCAGTGCCATGGCTATCGCGGTGCTGGTCAACTGGATGGCCAACTTTGTGGTCGGCATTGGTTTCCCCAGCATGAAGGTGAGTGGCCGGCAAAAGCTCGTCGTATTTGGGTACTTGATTTTCGAAAACTAATATCGTTTCTATGCGACACTTTATTCACTTTCCCAGACTGCCCTCGAGAACTACACGTTCTTGCCGTTCAGTGTGTTCCTGGCCATCTTCTGGATATTCACCTACAAGAAGGTGCCCGAGACGAAGAACAAGACGTTCGAGGAGATCCTGGCCCTCTTCCGGCACAACAATGGCAGGTATGTGTTTTTGCACTAGCTCATTCTTCGCTCAAATTCTGCACACAAATCATGGCAATATGTCGAATAGTTCTTCAGCTCATAACTTGAACTCAACTTTCCTACCTGACACAAGAAATGTGAACCAAAAACTATGAAATACAATACAGAATCTTTGTAATATGCCCTCGATTACCATTACTTGGAAGTTTATTATGCGATTTGCATAACCAAACTGATCCAGTGAACCGCTTTCCTAGGATCGGTTCAGGGTTCAGAAGTTTTGATTTCTTTTCGTTTTGAAATTTTGGTTCCCTTTTGTTTTACAAAGCACCATAAGCTCGAAAATAACCCTCTGACTTGAAATACGTTCCATGTTTTCCTCCAAGGACCTTTCGAGATAGTAGACTGTACGGGTAAGTTGCATGAAGCCACCGAGGACGATCGATCAGACTCTTAAGCTCCGTATCTAAAAGCCCCAAAATCAAAATCAAATATTAGACCCGATGCGTTTCGCTCTCCAAAGTTCCACCTTAAATTTGTAGCTCGTATTGCTGTACTTTATTTAGCCACTTTATGTACCATTTTAACCGAACTAAAAATACCGAAACGAAAGTTAACCGAATCGAATTGAATTTGTGGATTTCTGCGCTCAAAAGTTTCTATGAATTTTTCGGCATGTTTGCTTAACTTTGCCTGTACTTTGTTACAAACTCGTTACTTTTTTACTACAACTACAAACCATAAACAACTGGCTGCCGTAAAGCAAACTAAATAAGACTCATAATAGCCAATCTATATAAATACCCAATATTAAATATCAATTTTAATACTCTACTCTCCAACTCTCTCTATGCATAGCTAAGCCGTTACCTATACTTACTACTATTAAGAGCCGCATCTCATCTCTTTCTGCCCCCCATCACGTTATCCGATGTATCAGATGTATCGCTATCATTGCGCCCCGTTTCCCCCATCGCTCATTTTCAAAATAAATTGGTTGGTTTCCAGTGGTCCACCCATACATAAGCCACACCCATAAAAGCCCCACACCCACACTGCCACACCACATGCACACTGATTTTGTTGCCCGATTTTTGACCTATAGCGAGGATAATGCCAACAGAAACAGTGCCACCACCGCGGACCTTGAGTTGTCGCAGACAGATGCCGAGGAGAAAGGTGGCGTGCATGCCAAGGCACAGTGAAGCTCCGCTAAGGTAGCTGTGCCCCAGAACCAGTGTGACACCCACCAGACCGTCCAGTCCTTTTCAATTAATTTATAAACTTCAATTCACCAAGTTCACTCATAGCGATTCCTGGCAGATTCCGGGACGGAGGACGTGGGAGCCATATTTCAATTAGTACTAGTGCTAGCTTAACTTAATTTCACGTTATATGTTTGATTTCAAATAAATGTTGTTTTATTACCATTTTCATTTGCCTTGGTTCGTATGTTGTTCATTTTTAAGCCGCGCCTAATAACTTCCAAGCAGCCCCAACTACAATACACTAACTACAGAATCCTCCAGCGAGAACCATTTGCGGTGTCTCACTTGACTTCAATGAAACAGCCAGACCCGACAAAACTCTCGAAATTGCTTTCATTAGTTGCAAAGAAATTAAATTTACCAAATACGTTTACACTTAAAACATAATCGTAGAGTGTGCGAATTTCAGGAGTATGCTAAACTGCACAAATAGCTTGGAGCCACAAAGTATGAATTCTGGCATCGAGCATGCCGCCTTGATGGTATCTGAGGAGAAGACCCAACATGACTCACGTAAGAATCCAAAACACGCCGGCGTTCCACCCCGAACACCCGAATCCGAATCCTCCGAATCCTTCGAATCCTCCGCATCCGCATCCTCATCCTGAATTCCTGAAATCACAACCACACCTCGATTGCGTTTCAGTTTCACTTCCAGTTTCCGTTTGAGTTTTTAATTTCCTCGTTATTTGTTGTGCAAATTGCTCGAACCACACACCCAATATTTGCATATCCATATACACAGGTTGTGAAACAAACACACACACACGCACACAAGTCAGCAAATGTCCTGTAGGTAAACATAAAGACCCTAATTTTGAATTTACTCGTTAACCGTTTAAGCCGAACAAACTGTATCTATGTAAATTGGCTCATGAACAAAACTTGTCAAACGCGTCGCATAATTAATTTTTTGTTCGACAATAAATTATGCGCATTTCAATCTGTAGGGATTTTGAAACACTCTTTTGGGTGAACGGGTAACATGAAATTGGATTTTAGCAAACACACATTTTCGAGCAATTAGGCAATATAGTCAATGTTTCGTTAGTTTACCACACCAAAAAATTCTGCATTACCCCGATCCATTCAAGATCCCCCTCTAAACTCCATCATCTCCACTCATTAATATAAGTGTGTGTATCTATGAATTTGACATTCTTATTGTTTGCCTAGCAACTCTGAAGTATTATTTGGAATGTCCTGTTTACTTAGTTGCTTGTTATTGTAGCAAATCTGCTCTCTTCTAAACTTCTAATCTGTAACTAAAATCTGACGCGATGCTCGCGTCCGTCTGAATAAATTAACTATCTTGCATTGTTTATTTCCATTCGGATTTATGAATTGTGTTTTTTTGGATCAAACAATTTTAAACATTGGAACCCTATCTATCAATCAATCGATCGATCAAAATCAACCATCAACTGGACCTCTAACACACAACCGACACTCAACTATTGTATGTAACCAACTCGACAACTACTACCAATATTGGCGCCTATCTGATCTTGCATGAAATGAACTACTCAAAACTCAAAACTCAAAACTCTATAATCGATAATTGAAAATCAAAAATGAAAAATGAAAAATGAAAAACCAAAATACCGAGAAATCCTTTGCCGTGCATTGTAATAATCAAGTGTTTGGTACGACCTCGTTTTCCCTGACGGTTGAAGGCATGGGTCCCTATCCGCTGAGCGATAGCACCAATCTGCTGGGGCCCGGATCGAGCAGCTATGGCGCGGCCGGAGTGCTCGGCCTGGCCGGATCCGGATCCGTATCCGGATCGGGTGGCCAGTGCTACACGAATTACGGCACCAATCTGCAAACGCCGCAGGCGGCGAGAAAGTGCCACTACGACGAGGTGGACGACTACAGTTTCCGCCGGCACTCGGCGCACGGAAGGATGTCATGTAGGTTGACCCAGCACCACCGCTAGTACTAAGCCACCACAACCCAGCTAGCCAGCTAGTCAGCCACTGAGCCACTGCGCCACTGAGCCACTGAGCCACTAACCCACTGAGCCACTGAGTCACCACGAAAGCATTCACACGAAAATGCCCAAGCCAAATGCACCCAGTCGAATCTCAGCCCTTTAACTATACATCTAGACGTATACTCGTACATCCAACTAGGCTAAGGCTCCAGCTGGCTAAACGAACCACCGACAGTTCGGATCTGATGAACGTAGCTTACATTGTTTTCCTTTCGTTCCTTTATAGTACGCAAGTGAAGGGGAAACTACTGATCTTGGGACCAACTGTATTAAACAGAAAAAATGGAGCGAACCGATTGGCTAAGTAATGAAAAGTCGCACCACTCTCTGAAAACAAACACCATACACCCACAGTACACCCAACTCACCCACTCGCTCAGAGATCAGAGATCAGAAAGAAAAGTGCCAATAATGCGACTGAAAATAAACACACGTCATTCAAACCAACTCATTTATTATTTAAATGCCAGCCATTTAATTCGCAATCATCAAACATCCAATAGGCCATAACTTAATGAATTGCCGCTGCGGTGAAGTATTTAGTTTTTAGTTTTAGTGGCGCCCTTCATTTATTACAACTATTATTGCCGCAGCGGCGCAAAAAGGGCTAAATGAAAATCATTTGCGTAAATTAATGAATCAATCAATCCGGCAATCAGGCCATCCATCACCAGCCCTTCGACTTCATCATCGCCATGTGAAAGATGTGTTTTGTTGCTCAAATAGACTGTGCATGCGTTTTTATCGCCCTCCTGCAACTGCATGCGTATTATTGGCATGCACTTTTTACATGCACTCCATGAATTATATTAATTAGCAGCAGTAGTGCATGCATCGCAGCTAAGAACGCCCCAAAAAAGCCCCTCCACAAGCTAAATGAACCACTAGCGATGAACGCAGCTGAGAAACCCACAATTTGGCCGCCATATTAATTGCTTTTCGTATTCTCGACCTGTGTTTGTTTGTTTTTTATTACGCCCCACCGCCTTTCCGCTGGGCAGCTGCATCCGAGCGATTTTTAGAAGGCGCCCGAAGTACACACCAGGCCCGGAGCGCTGCCTCTGCGCCCCATCACCCTCGTCAGCCTCCACCTGTCTGCCCGAGCAGCGGGCCTTGACTGAGGAGCGCCTCGCCTCCTGACTCTGCCAGTGTTCGTTCCACGAGTCGCGCTGAGGAGCCGCATCAGCCGCAGCAGGCGCAGCAGGGGCAGCAGATGCACCACCAACAGCATCTGTCCCGCTATGCCACACACGAATACGTACACTGTAGCTATGAGAAGGAAGTCGTTTGTGATCAGGCCAATCCCGCGCAGGCACCGCCACCGCAGCCAGCACCACCAGCCCCACCAGCACACCAGCAGCAGCAGCCACCACCGCCATCGCACCACTGCCAGCAGCGCAAGCACAGCCACAGTCCGCACCACAGTCGCCACACCTCGCCGCACTCGCACCACCACCACTCGCACCACAGTCGCCACAGTCGCAGGAGTCGTCGCCAGGGCAGCGGCAGTCTGCCGGGCGCCCACCAGGGCTCCGCCCACCACTCGGTGGTGCGTCCGTCGATCTGCAGCAGTCGCCGGCATCGCTCCGTCACGGATATATCCACGACGAATGTGTGCCAGGACCCCGCCTGCGCGGATCGCGAGGTGCAGGAGATAATGGTAAGACGTACCTGCTGCAACACCGCCACCGCCACCGCCACCGGCACCACCGCCACCACCGCCACCAACAGCTCCTCCCGCACCGAGCTGGCCCAGTGCTTCGCCGAGGACCTCTACGGCTCATCCCGACGCCCGAGCAGCTGCTGCACCAGCTCCGACTACTGCTACCAGACGGACTCGACGAGTCTGTACGGCTCCAGGTCATCGTTGAGTCGCAACAACTCCATCAAGTCCGCCTCGGCGCTGGTGCGTAAGCACCACAGGAGTCAGCGGAGCCTGCTGCCCGAGCACCGCCACCCCAGCTACACTTCCATATCGCTGAGGGGCCTGAACGCCAGCCGCCCGAACAGCCAGTTGGGCTCGCTGACCTCGATCTTTGACCGGGCCAAGAGCTTGGCGCCCGAGGGCTGCACACTGGAGCGTCAGAGCTCCAAGGGCGCGCTGGGCAGCAGCGAGCTGCCGGAGTACGCCTGCTCCCCGTCACCGATACGCTGGAGCTTCCTGGCCGATGGCAGATCCCCCTCCGAAATGGAGGGCGCTGTCGGCGGGGGAACCGAGAGGGAGCAGGAGGAGGACCAGCTGGACGCGTGGCAGGTGCCCGAGCCGGAACCGGAAAAGAAGCCCTGCCGCAAGATCACCACCACCAGCTCCTCCGTCTACGACGAGGGGCCCAGCACTTCGGCAGCGGCTGCCCGGAAGCGGCGGGGCAGCAAGGGAAGTCGGGGTAGCAGGGGTAGCAGGGGCAGTGCCAGTGGCAGCTACCATTGCGAGTTCGAGGACGAGGCCACCACCACTGTGATGTTCCACCAGGATGCCGGCGAGGCGTACAACAATTGCTGCAGCAACAACTACAACTACATACAGTGCAACAGCTACTTGGACCAGGACCTGCAGATCACCAGCGAGGACATCCATCAGTACCTGTCCAAGGGCGATGCCACAGCCAGCGACATCCTGAACAACTCGAAGAACTATCCCTTTCAGCCCTCGAACGCGCTGGAGTTCCAGTACAAGAACAACTTCCAGCAGGGCCAAGTGAATGCCAATAACAATAACACCAACACCACCAACACAGCCTCCAGCGATGCGGGCGAGTGCTTCCAGAACTACAGAGCCACCTCGAAGGAGACGAACCTGAACCAGAGCTCCGCGGAGCAGCTCTCGCCCACAAACATCAACTTGTCCACGAGCTCGAACAACATAAACATTGTGTTCAGCAGCAGCTTGGAGCGCAATGCCAACGAGGTCAAGTTCATCAACAACAGGAGTGGTGCCACAGCTGGCGGTGGCTCCGAGGTGGGCGGTGGCTGTGAGGTGGGTCACCATGCGGGCTACTTGCCCTACACCTATCCCAGCTACGACTACACGAACATGTCGGGCAACTCGCACTTTGAGAAGCCCCTGGGCATAGACGAGCTGCCCAAGGAGTTCGGCGGCCTGGAGGGCGCCGGATGCGGCGGCGCCTCCACCACCAGCGAGCACTCCTCGTCGCTGCCCTCGCCGCAGCCACTGACGCACCACCAGCAGCTGCACCACTTCGAGTCCTTCGACGCCGCCTCCGAGCACAATTTGCTAGCTGCCCAAGCCATGTCGCCGGGGTCCCCGCTGTCGGGTTCCGTGAACCCCGCTGGCGACGACTTCGTCCAGATGCACCACTACCATCACGCCAACTCACCGCACTCGCAATCGCACTCGCAATCGCAATCGCACCACAGCCACAGCCACGCCCACACGCACACCCACGGCCACCACGTGCACCACCTGCTAAGCCACCCCGCCTACGATCTAGCCGAGGATCAGTTCCGCTTGGGATCGGCCTTGAAGCGAGTGCGCAAGCGAGCACGCAAGTACACCGACTTCCTGCGCAAGAAGTGAGCGGTTGCCCGGACTCACTGCATCCTCCCCCAGATTCGCCCTACTTTGGCCGCAAATACCTGGTGGTCTCGAAGCGGCGATCGCAGAGCCTGGACGAGGACTAACCCCGTGGCGACTGGACAAGCAATAGCCGAGGAGCAGCCATACTTACCTTTAATTACAATTTTTACACTGCCAAAAAGTTAAGAAATTAAAGTTCATTTTTGCTAAGCCAAACTCTGTTTAAAGCGAGGATCAGTCAGATCACCCACATGCACTATGGAACGTTGTGGATTTACTAGGGTGGTAAAGTTTGGCTTCCGCAGTGAGGCCATTGATTCATTTAAAGAAAATGAAAAGATTCTCTTGAAGTTGTATGGATTGTTGTCCATACTTTATAGAGTTTTCCAAGGAAACTTGCAGAACTTGCAGATACTTTACCTCCCAGAAATTCACTCGCCCCAAATGCACACACACACACGAATCACACAGCTGCAAACACAAGAGGAAGACGAACAACGACTATTTTAAATATTGAAAAGAAATACTTAAGCCAACAGTGCGTATACATAATAAATACAAGCGGTATCAGAGGAGGGCATTTGTATATTCAACTTAAACATTAAGCGAAGGTTTTGAATTTGCATATTTAAATTGACTAAACCCATATACATAGTTAAGAGCCAAGGCAAATGGAAATAATAATGCACACCTACTCAAGCCTAGAAGATAGACAACCAATCTAACATACCAGTTAAAGCTAGCTATAAGGATGCGATCAGATGGATCGATGGATCGATGGATCAGATCGGAGCAGCGCCACAAGATTTAGAGTTTCAGCAACCGCAACTAAATAATGAAATTAACCATTAATTAACAAACAAAACAGCAAGACAAGAACAGCAACTGTAGTTTGGCACACTAGGGACAACAAGTTTAAAGTTACAAAGAGGAGTGTTAGGAACCGTGTTACACAGAAAAGTGAGAGTTTTGTTAGCATTTATTTGATATGCGCGTTTTTCAGGGACTGCTTGCGATTTTTGTAATAAAGCAATAAGCCGTTTTGCTCAAGGATTAAATACGATTAAATACGTTTGCGTTTCACCCAGAGCCCCACAATCTTTGTTGATTTCTCCGAGATTCGTTTCGAGTGTTTTATGCCCCAACAACTGTCTTCCAATTATACTTTCTAGTCGTATCTCTCGTAGATTCAGTTGCTCTCGAAAATAACTTGAACATCTAATTGTAAACTAAGCACTCCAACTTATTTTAATGACCGTTGAATCAGACGTACCTTGCGTGAGAACAAAAAGAAAACCGAGAAAATTGTAAATAACTGCTGTTGATTAATTAATAACCTAATTTACGAGTAACTACTAAACGAACTTAATTTGTAGTCTTTAGCCGTGGCGAATCATTATGAATTAGTGAACCGAAAATAATAAATATAAATGCACTGCCAAAAACAAAGGTTTTAAATAAAACAAAAAGAACAACAAGAACAAGATCCACTGCGAGGATCAGGTTCGCGAAACCAAATCGAAAATGAAAACTGCTGTAAATATAAGAATGAATACATATAGAGAAATCATAGACATTTTTTAAAGGCACATTAATTAAAGAGGAGCATGCGATTTGCAGATTTTTTACATTATTTTAATGAACTAAGGAAAACAATAATGAGTTAAACGGAGCTACGAAACCGAAAACCAAAAAACCGAAAAACCGAAAAACCAAACAAAAAATTCAAATGCCACGCGGCCGTGCGATTTTGTAACAAAATCAAAAGACAGAATGTTAACATTGCGTAAAGTTAAATCAAGTATAAAAAACCAAAACGAATTAAACAGGCACCTCAAAATGGCGTTAGGGTGCAAGAACTGGGCACCGGAAACGGAAACAGACTGCTCTTAAGTTGTGTGCACTATTCGAACTGTAAATAACAGATTCTGATCTGCCGAAACAATTAGCCCGCAAAATGCATCCCAAAACAACGGACCGAGTTAGAGACATTATCCGCTAATAGGAAAGCCACTATGGGAAACAGCTAGGACCGGAGCAAATCCCTTAAAGTTCACGTAGCAAGGACACTAACTTACCAGTTACCCCCCAGTTACAAAAAAGCCCTCGAATCGTTGAGATTTCGGGCCACGATAATCACACACAACCAAACAAACGAAGCTAAGCCAGCTGCAATATTAGTGAGATGCCGATTGAGAAATATAGCTGAATTAACACAATTAATTAACAATGGCATTATGCCCTAGCGACTTTTTTACCTGTTTGTACTTCAGTTCGTGGTTCGGATATGTTCTAGCATTTGTCATAGCCACATATAGTTGTGTACATAACTAGTTAAAATTGTGCATACAGGACGGTTACCTTAAGTATATAAATACACGCAAAGGTGAATATTAGCCAGGCCCGAAGAAACACTCAAACTATTCAGACTCGACAGAACCGACAGACTCGACAGATTCGCATTCCGATACACTGAGAATATGCGGCGGAGAGCGAGAGTAATGCGGAATAATAATTATATTATTAATATACAACAATAAACTTGAGCCTAGGTATATGATTCTGAATTTAAATAATTTTTAGTAAGGCAGAGCAAGGAAACCAGAAGCAAAAGCAAAAGCAAAACGGAAACTTAAACACTTGAATGAAATTAAAAGACAACTTATTAAAAATACAAATAAAAATTGATGAATTAAGTAAAGTAAATTGCTCAATTTAGCTGAGAGTATAAATAAAGAATTATACGTTAAGTAATAATTTCAAAATACAAGCCTGACTTATTCTTGGGTTCGGGAACTTAAATCATTTTCACTCTCAGGCGGAGCAGATGCATCCGTACTTCAAACAAAAAGATACATTGGCTGCACTCACTGCGATACTCATCGATAGACAGGATCGGAGTGCGCATGTCAAGGATGTGTCACATTTGGCTGACGGTTCCGGGCTTTAGGGGTATATACCCGTACTTTCGATGGGGTGTGTAAGCGAGTTGGCCAAAAATGGAATTCTCTGGCTTTTAAAATGTTGACCGCCCTGCGTCGGAAAATTCGCTTCGGAATGCAGCGCACGGTTTTGATAGCGGTCCTGCTGGCGGTGGGCATTTTCAGCTACGCCTTCCTCAACCTCAAGTTCTGCTTCAAGTTGATGTCCCATCGGAGCCTCAACCTAATGGTAAGTAACTGCAACTACTCCGCTGTAATATAGGCATTTTTAAGTAAAATCCCCAATCGAATAGTGCCAGAAATTCGAAAAGCACGAGTACAGCGGCTCCCTGTGCGAGGAACTTTGTGGTTCCCAATCCTCCTTCGACAACTTTCAGTGTCCGCTGAATGATATGAAAACCATCCTCTTTACGGCCGAAAAGAACGGAGACTTGTATGCGGTGAAGGTAGGTCGCGTTTTCCCAGTTTCCGCGCCCTGGTTGCCTAGACTACGAGCTTTCCATTTCCCATCCACTTAGCTGGCGCGGCACAACGATGACGAGCTGAGCTGGACGAACAACAAGGGGGAGTCGATATACCCCAAGATCGAGGAGTTCCACGAGATCGTGAAGCTGCACATCATTCTGGCGTACAATGTCACGCTGGATGACAATATGGTGAGTAGACACGAGATTCCATTTAGGAAATTACTAGGTTTCTGACTTCATATGGAAATTTCAGATACGCGCTTTGGTCAACCAGGAAATAGCCGACGACAACTCGCAGCAGATGGTCAGCTTCTGGCGGCTGTTCAAGGACAACAACTACATGATGGGCAAGCTCTTCGACGAGGAGTCCATTTTTCCGGCAGTTCTGGGCTCCTGCGGCCCCTACTACGCCACTGAGGGACTGCAGATTGTGCAGTCCAACCCCAGCATAATGCAGTATCTGTGGGTTGCCAGCTCTAGTCCAAATATTTAGCTTAGAACTTATCAATCTCTCGCTCCACAGGGCCTCCAATCGCGTGCAGCGGCTGAAGCACGCCCTCAACATTATGGAGTACATTTTCCGACTGGACGAAATGAAGCCGGAGCCCCTGAAGATGTGCAAGATGCAGGTGAACCGCTTCGGAACCGCCTCGGAGCGCAGGCTGAAGTACCAAAGTGCCGAGCACGTCTATGTGGAGAGCCAACTGGACAAGCGCCTGTCCAGGGGCATCAAGTGCCACGCCCACCAGGACTGCCACTTTCACTCCTGCAGAGGCCTGTGCGACGAGGAGAAGCAAGCCTGCACGCACATCCAGCAGAACAACAACTTCCAGATATTCTGCGAGCACATCCTCCTGGGCGGCGGCACCTTTCAGCCCGGCCTCCTCAGCGGAGTGCGCCTCTCCAAGGCGCTCCAGCAGCTGGTCAGGATGTGCGTGCAGCCGCCCAAGGAGCATCAGGTGCCGGGACGCCAGTGGGCGCCCAACACGCAGCTCGCCCTGCGGCTCTACAACGAGCTGAAGCAACTGCACCAGGTTGCAGCCGCGGCATCCGCGGGATCCGAGGTTCCCGACGAGGGACTGGCGCGTCGGGGAGTCTAAACCAATTCCCAATGGCAACCGGAAAATGGCAGGCCCGGAAGCGGCGGAAGGTAGATCAATTGGCGTACAGCTGGCTCAAAACTGATAGCATTTTTACAAGTAGACTTAATTAATTACAATTAAATAAAACAAAAATGCTTTTTATTGACTACAACATACAATATAAATCTCGCTATTTGACCAATTGAAGTATCGCAATTATTGATTATCGCAATTAGTGACTCTTTAAAATAAATTAAGCCCAACCGAAAATATTTAAACAATTGAATTTCCCGCGTTTCTTCTTCTTTGTTACTTGCCATTCACCAGTCAACCAAAGAAATTGTAGGGTTCCCACCCATTTCAAACAGAGCGCCAAATTTAAATCCAATACCATGTAACAAAATTTAAACAAGGCTCTTTAAATGCAACCAAAAGAATGACTAACTGGCAGTCGCGATATTAAACAACATTTGCGTTGAGTATGTTAAGTTTATTCAGCTACTTTTGCTTTATTATTATTCACTTTGAAAAATTTAAATTCAGATTACATGCTTTGTTGGTTACATACAATTTGCATAGTGGTTTCTGGATATATTTATATTTATTTGCAGCCTGCGCCCGGGCCAAAAGTTCATCTCGCCAGTGGCGTTTTCCGGGCGTTTTCCGAGGGAAAAGCTGATGCTTACTTGGCTAAAACACAGATTAACACGTTTACTTGATGCTGTTCGCATTGCACTGACGCACACATGATGTCGCAGTTGTAAGTAATATATTTATAGTTAGTCAGAGTAATTGGATAAACTAAAACACACACTTTAATTACCACAATTATCTAGAATTTCGACGGGGGCTTAAGTACAACAATTAGTTAATCGGTAAGTGCCATTAATATAATCGAAAAGAATTCAGTATGTTACATGTTACGCTCGATCGGCTGTGAGTTGCGTAGAGCTCCACGAGTTAGGTGCAAAAATGTAGAAAATGTTGTGGCCATTGGGTTCCCCCCACTGTGCGTTTGCTTGTCATCATCGGATCATTTGACCCAGCGATCCAACCATCCGATCCGTCGTCGCGACTTTAACATTTAATTACGAGTATGCCGGAGGTTCGTTTCACAATTGTTGTAAAAAAATACATTTCATGTTTGCTTCCTACATTTAGCTTAGCTAAATCCTTATTGTTCCGCCTCGCATTGATATATGCAACTTGCATTCATATTCATGTTCCAGACTGTAGCCGGCGTATCGGTGTGTGTGTGTGTGTGTGTTCTAAGAGTGTGCTGAGTGTGTGAGTCTAAGAGACAAAATCGGATTGAAAGCATCGGGTGGACAACCGCTTAGTAACTTCGTCTCGTGTTCTATACTTCTATACATGTAATCGTTTAATCAAATCCTGGTCCTGTTTGAGTAATTTGTTTGCAAGAGACACATGCATTTGAGTGACTCTGACTTATCCTCGTATGCTACACTGTACATTGGCCCAACTGGCTCCTGCTTACCAACTAAGATAAACGCACAGACACCAAAGAGAAATATGCTTCGAAAAACTGGATACAGTGCTTAGGTGTTAGGGCTTCATTTTAGATGACTGCTTAGCCTAAAAGTGTTGTGAACTTGTCTTAAATATAATAACTGAAAATGGCGCAAAGTATGAGCAAACCAAAAATAATTACATCCAGGCAGGCATTATATTTATTTTGGGCATCGTTTAAAATTAGAATAATTAAAAACTTATTGTTTCTGGTTTTGATTACGTTTAAAGCTTACATATTTTATTTGTAAATCATAAAGTACAAATACGCTTTGCATTGCATTAAAAAACTAAAGTTTTGCTTAAATTATTTCACGAAGTTGCTGCACTCGAACGAGTGCCATTACACGAATCTCTGCTCTAGTTACGCAAAGCAAATCAAGTTACTAAAGTTTAAACTATGAATAACGTTTAGCAGCTTAACTAAAACTATGTACCGAACTAAGGCTAGAATAGTTATACTCTTACTCTGCGTTTAATGCGAATAAAAATACGAAACGAAAACGAAATGTAAATTGCTTTTGATTCTGAGTAGTTCTCGGCTGCGGATCGTAGTAAATCAGACTCGGAAAAGTAAAACTAAGAGCAAAGGAGTCTAATTAAGTTAAAAATGCACACAATGTCAAAGGTAATCTTGAGCATATAATACTTTGCGTTTCATACACACAAATCCGGAATCGAAAGCAACAGCTAAATGAACAGAAGTCGACTCAAACTATAATCTAAAGGTGGACTGAACGGAAACGCAGTTGATGACGAATAAATAAATTACAATTACAAGTTACATACAAATTAGGATTGAGTATGCGAGTGTTTGGGTGTTCTGGGTGTGAGTGAGCAAAACTATCCGTAAACAAACTATCCGCACAGACGGAAAACAAGTGCGAGGCTAATGCTCACTGGGTGGCGGGGCACCTTTGCCCAAAACACATTTCAATATCATTTTCTCATACTTTCGTTTGTGGTTCTTGCTTGCTTTCAAGCATTTAAGCTTTCCTGCCTTATCATTTGGAATTCTGACGCCAACGGCGTTCATTTGTTTTTGGTTGACAGGGGATTGGAGAGCATGAAGATCAGGTCGTTCTGCTGCTGCAGTATCTTGTTCAGCATATCGCGCCAACCCGCGTAGTTCTCCTGCGACGCCGCCTGGCAGATGATCGTCATCTCGGGGATCTTGGGGTCCGTCGACCTGATTTGGAAGCGGCAGTCGCCCAGTTCCTTCATTTGCATGTGATTCAGCTGACGGCGATAATCAGATATTGTTAAACCATCCGATAATTGTATATTATTCCTCACTCACCTGTATGTGCGATCTGTATTTGAATATGGGACTGGCGTACTGGTTCTTGGTCTTCTCGATATCCGCAAAGATGATGATCTGCTGGAAGAGGAACACCTGCAGCTCGCGGTGCTTCTGCGCCGCATCCACCACGCAGTTCATGGGTCCCTGCATCAGCAGGCTGCCTTGGGCGGTTATCTCGCCATCGAAGTCCTGCAGGCTGCGCAGCACCACCATCATGTCGTTGACCGTCTTGACGACCACCTTCATCTGCTGGTAGGCCTCCTGCAGCATGGGCACCTCCTTGTACAGGCCGGCTCCCTCGGTGGCCTTGATGATCTCCTTGATGAGCAGCTCGTACTTAGTGATTCGCTGCACCGGCTTGATGATAAGGTTGCTCAGCTGCGAATTGGAAGAGCGGAAGGAAATAAGTTACAGATTACACAAGTTTCCTATGATTAGGCAGTTTGGACTCACATCCAGGCGATGTCCCAGCTTCTGACGTATGCAATCGAAATACTGATAGTGGGCGCTGACTATGTATTCAGACAGCGGTTTGTTACTGCAGTAGGTGTAGTACAGAGCGAACTTGGTGGCCGAGCGCTTGATGAGCGGACCCAGGTCCGCCGGCGACTTCTGGCAGTTGCGCAGGGCTCTCAGGAAGAAGCTGGAAATAGCAGGGGTTAAATAGTTGCTTTCTTGAGATGGCGGCGTTCTCTATACTCACTCCCTGTGCCACTCGTAGATGTCTTTAATATTGTTGAAGACCAACTTCATTTTGCCGCCCTTCAGGTCCTCGGGCATGGGTATATCACTGTTCGTGTTGTTAATCTCCGTCATGTAACTGGAAAGGGAGTGAAAACAGGGGAGTTGTGCATTGAATAAACCAGGCTGTTTGGCATTCAGTACGTACCCATTGACGATCTCATGCAGATCCTGTACATATGCCTCCTCCGTGGACATCAGCTCCGCGAAGACGCATTGCCGCTTTTTGAGGGCCGCAGCCTTGTCGGACACGGCGGAGTGGCTCTGAAAGAGAAGGATGAAAGGATGTGGTTAGTGAGCAGGAGCAAGCGCCATAGTAGCCGTAGGACCCTCACCTCATCATTGTTGTCGTGGGATCGACCGTGGCCGTTTGTGCTGACATTTTCCACTCCTCCGCCGCCATCCACGCGACTGTTGGACTCGTGCTGCTCCTGGAGATTGGAAAACAAGCAGGGGTTGGGGTTAGCACTGCGCTCGACACCATCATCGACTGGAGCACTTACCGTTGTCGTCTTGACAATTTCTTCTATTTCCGAAAGTGGATTGCCGTCCATTTTGCCGGGACTGGCCTGCAAGAGGGGAAAAGCGGGTTAAACTCAATGCTGGTCAGGTCAGATGCATAATGGAAAAGTTTGAGCAACGATTATTGCATTATCCCCTTGTGCAGCAGGCGGCTAATTGAAAAACTTTTTCTACCCGTGCAGCACTTGATGCAATAACTTTTTAAGGCACACAATCTCTATTGAAATTGAATAAACTATGTATATTGAATTAGTCGAACTGGCAACGTTGCTCATCCGCCCAGTGGCCGCAAATAGAGTTGAGTTGAGGGAAAACCTCCATCGTTTTGTGGTAATTTTCAAAATAAACACGTACTAGACGCTCGCATGTTCAGCTCGAATTGAATCACTTGCTTATTTTTGTTTTCCCACTCGCGAGCTCGCGCACCCAGGGCCCCAAATTAATTTCAGTTGCATAAATAAGCAACGTAACTAAACACAAACACACTGTTGGTTTTACTAAATTTATAACCAACATTTGCTTGGGTTAACATGCTGAAAAGTTCGCCCCTCCAGCAGATAACATTGTGTAACTAGCACAATTATAAAGATAAGATAAGGAATGGTCAGCTGTTTGGGCTTGGCCAGAAGTGGAATTTGTCACCGCAAGCGATTTACAACTGCGATGCAGCTTACAAATAAGCGGAAGAAGCAGCTCATGGCACGTGTTGCTTAAAATTCGCGGCGCACAGTGTCAACTTTTTATTTTTGCTTCTCGGCCACCGTCTATGGCGAACTGTCTTTCGAAAATGTGGCCTTTATAAGGACTTTGCGACGACGACGCATTTTGGCAATGCGAAGCCCGAGAATCTCGACGAGCGACTGAACGCCGAGCGCTGAACGGTGCGACTGACTGACTGGCCTAATAGTTTTGCCCGTTGTCCGTTGCCTGTTGCCCCGCATGTTTTACATACTCGCATGCAGGCAGCCACCCCACCTGCCACCCCACCTGCCACCCACTTACCCACCCACGCAGTACGCAGAGTGCTCCCCCTGCGACATCAAAAGAAACTCTCAATCAACGCTCCGCCAAGAAATTCGTCGCACTCGCTGAGGAAAAGCGCTGAGGCACTTGTATCCACTGAGCGAAAGCTGAGCGGGGAGATATAGAGATATAGATACGCAAGTTGGGGCGCCGGGGGAGCTGCCTTTGTGCTCGCGAGTGTGTGTTTTGTGTAGATGGTGTAGCAGTGTTGTTGCTGTGAGTTCTTAAATACATAAATTAATTCGCATTTGCGGGCGCGAGTGATCGACAAGGAAATACCTCTGGCGGTGGCAAGAATTTAGCATAAAATAGAGATTTAACGGGCGCCTCTGCCGAACAATTAAATGCGTTATTTTACGGCGAGTTTAATAAGTTGAAGCGCTACATCTGGGATTCCCTTGACCAAAGTTCCAGCAGTTTGATATCAGCGCTTTACAATGGCTTCCGTCATGAAAAAGCAACAGATTAAAGGAGGAACAATAACAGCCAAAACCAAAGGAACAAAGGCACCACAGCCCACGCAATGACGTACCCACATTTAAGTGGTGTGACATTTAATTAGCCTCTTTGCAAAGGGAAGGTAGTCGACTTGCAACGGCTGATGTCACACACATCCGCGGATATACTCGCATACACATTGTATATGTGGCACTCGCAAAGGAGAACTATTAAAAATTAATGACAATGCAAATAGGCGAACTAAACAAAGGTGGCACAGGAACACGGCCAAGACCCGAATGCCAAGTAGGCCAAAAAGTTAACACAAGCGAGGTACGAAAAGCTAACTGGGTTAAGAAGTTCGCACCCAGGCGATACGGAAAACTCAGAATTTGTAAACAGGAAGGAATACAATTAAATGTTGACGCATCAAGGCGAACCAGCTTGTACCAGACAGCCGAAAATTGGCACGAATGCACGGCAAAAAATAGTTAGATGGATGCATAGCTACTGTTTGTCAGCATAGAATTATATTTGCTCAAATTGCTACTCGGATGTGGCGCTTCGCCTGTACTAAACCCTTTCAATTAATTATGGCATATGAAGTCATTGATCGAATGCTTTTCTGTGTGCTGTGTTCCCTGAACTCAGCTAATAATCATCACCATCAGCGAACTAGAAACACTCGGAACAGAATGGTACAGAGCAGACCAGACCAGACGACATTCAGTTTATTGACGGACAAAGTGGCTACAGCGAAGTCGACGTTCTGGCGACGGACACTTCGGGATGGAAAAAGCTCGAAATTGAGGCGAGACGTCGAATTGGGGAGCTCTCCACACGAAACGGATCATTAATCAAGTTGAAATCCCACGAAGTGCATACATAGTGCGATAAATACTTTGGGAACTACAAAAGCGACAATTAGTGGGAGGCAGATTCCTCAGAATTTCAAATTTTTAATGATTTGTACATTTTTGAGGGATTTCGCATTCATTAAATGCTGGCTGTTAATTAAGTTTGTAAAATGAAACATGAATGCAGTTTCGATAGGAGCTCTATTGTGTCAGCATGCCTCACAAAAAAAGGGTAAAAGTTGAAAACTTTTGTGGACCCAAGGAAAGGAAATCGCGCAAATGCCATTAATTAATTAAGTGGCTTTTGTTCAAGCATTAACAATAGGTACGACATAAAGTGAAGAGCTAGGAAATTGAAATTCCCCTTCAGGTGGTCGAGCACCGCACATGTAGATGGATGCAGCGAGTTCTACGTAATTTAAGGCCACATTCGCAGCCATGAATCAGGCAGTATCCTTTCCCTGTAATTTGCTGGCAGAAGTACCAGCCAAGTGGAAGTCCCGCCCCCACGCGCAGTCAGCCGACAAAGTCTGTGGGCTAATTTGACTGTCGAAATTTATGCGTCGTATCTGCGAGTTCGAGCATCTCTGGCTATTTGTATCTGTATCTGTATCTATTCACTCTCCTGGGTCGAGTGTAAACAAAATAAAGTGGCGCATTTACGGCGAAGGTGGCTGGCCCGGAGAACGAGCAGAACCTGCGAACGGAGGAGGATTCCCACTCCCCGGAGATTGTTCTCTAATTGAGCAAAAACCGTGCTCGGATTGCCGATGACGTCGCCGGAGCAGAGGCGAACGGGCAAAGTCACAATAAACCGCTTTGATTTGTGTGGGAAACACATATTAGAGGAGCTGCGTGCTGAGCAAACAAACTTGGAGCCAACGAATGGTGGCTGATTGGACGGCCTGGCACTGGGTGTATCATTCACGTTAGGGTGGCTCAATGCCTGGGCAGTACTTTTGCAAAAATGCCTTCCATTCACTACAGCTCAACTGTCGTAATGTGCTTCTTCGACGGGGAACAAGGCAGCTAACTTATAAAAGACCTTCTTGTACTTGCTGAGCATAAAGCAAACTTCTTTAAAGTGGCATCTTCACATCTAACATGAGTCCTTGACACAAATCGGTTGCAGCGAAGACACGTGGTTCATACAGCGAGCAATGATTTCCCAACTACTGCAAATCCTGGGGGAAATCTCGGGAAATCGAAGATTGCTGGCTCGGACGCAGGTACTCACCATGTTGCCCGAGCTCTCCTTGGCGTCCTTGGCAAAGGCGGGCGGTCCGTTGGCAATCAGGTGCGGCTCCTGGATGGGTTTCATGGGCGGCGGCAGCTCGAGGCCGACCTCCTCGTCCGGCTCGAAATCTCCGGCTCCGGCTGCTCCTGGATGCTGGCTGGAGCCGGGGAACTGCGACGATGGCAGCACGCTGGCGGGACTGGCACCTGGCTGCTGGCTCTGCTGCTCGGCCAGCTCCTCGGCGTGCTTCTGGGGTGTCTAGATATAGGAAGAGCGCGGAGGAACGTCAAATGATATAAATAAACGCTCGTTAAACGCAGCACTCACTCTCAGGTTTTTCTCCGAGGGCTTCTTCACCAGCGGTTTGCTACTGGGCGGCTTGTCCGTTCCCTTGCGATTCATCAGCGGCAGCCAGTTGCGCCTGCAAAGATGGGACAGGTAAGTGGCAGTTTGTATGGAAGATGCTGAAGATGTTGAAGATGTTTTTCGTGTGAGTTTGCCTACAGGAACTTGCGAATCGCTGTGGTGCTCTGCACAAGTTCCTCCATCGCTCATGGCGTGCCGAATAAAAAGCGAAATAAATAAAACAAAGAGATGCTTGATGGCTGTCCAGCTGCGCGGCTAACATCAGACTGTCGCCAGCATCGAGTCGGCTGCTAACTTGGCCAAAAAGCGCCCGCTGTTCGGATGTCGCCGCTCGCACAGTGGGCACAATTCGCTTTCCCATTACCATTTGCCCTTTTAAAGAGCCCCGAATGCCCCGCCCCTGCGCCGCGCAATTGGTTTTATGATTCCATGGTTTTAAAGCCAAATTTCGGCTTGAGCGCGCGCTTTTATGCTCCAAGTTTTTACCGCACTCGCCGTAAAAGAATATTTCTTTCAGCGCTCCTTTGATTAATTTACAGCCAGAGCAAAGTTTATGGGTCAAGTTTCGACTTTATTTGCGAGCCGAGTCATTAATCAGCCACAGTGAGCACTGCGCAGGCAGTTGGCTTGGGTTTCAACAGCTCATTTGGGGTGCAGGCAACATTCTGCGGTCAGTGGAAATGCAGTAGAGAAAACCGCAAAGCCGCAAACTAAGCTCTCCTTAAATATGCCGTTTATAAATTTTTAATTAGGCTTAATTAACGAGCGCAGCAGTCGCCTTAAGCGCTTCGAAAATCGATAGCAATTAAACAGAGCACGAAAGAGTGGAGCCAAATGGGTGGGAAGGTGGCCCCAGGAGCCAGGACTCAGGACTCGGGAGCCAGGACCCGTGACCCAATGGCATGTAACATAATTCGAAGTAAAAATAAACATTGACACAGACGACAAGGAGCAGGAACGCGGCTTTCGACTGGCCAAATTGGACGAGATAGCAGTTCGGTGCCAGGAGTTGTATTAAGTTTATCGCCAGCTGGCTGGACACATTCAAAATTCATTTGGCTGATGTAATGTTTTAGCCAAATAGCCGAGGTATTCGTGTTTGTGGGGGTATTCGTATTAATGGGTCGCCGCAAAGTATGCAACACAGCTCGGGAAAATTTGCAGTTTCCACCTTCTGCGGGAAAACAAAAGCAGCATGGAAAATCCTTTGGAATATGCAGTCTATAAGTTTGCATAATTGTTTGCTCAAAATGTGTTAATCACAATTTTCAGTTCATCGAATTTTGATAGTGACACCAGCAATAAAAATATTAACAATGAACTTTGAATAATGAAACATGTTTTTATTGCATTAGTGAATGTTTACGCATTACTTTAGTGTCGTAAGCCAGATAATATTGGTGAATAATCATAAAAATATATCGCTCTCATTGAGTCTTATGCCTGAATCATGGTTATACATTTTGTCAAAGTGAAATCATAGATGTATGTGCCCGTGTGTTTGGGTGGCACACAAATACCACTTAGTTCATTGGACTTGGAGCACGCGCCGCTGAGCAGGATCCTCCGCCCCGCTGGCTTTATGGTCCCCGATTCCTTGCATATATCCTGGACAAACACACGCGCATATTGACACAGTGCTTGAGACAAAGAGTCCGGCGCAAAGTGACAGCTGGCGGGGAAGCAGCTCTTCGGCGGCTGCCTCGGACTCGGACTGGGACTCGAACCCGGATGATAATCTATATTCATGCTCGGCAGGAGTGTGGGGCGTTGAGGAAGCAGCTGGCCGAGGAGGAACTACCATTAATGCTCACTCGAGTGAGCCAGCAGCAAACAAAGCGCCCAATTAGAGTGCAAATAGTGAAAGTGTTGCTGTGTTATAATGTCCACGGAGCAACATGGCCGAAAGGAGTAATACTTGTACGGAAAGGAAGTACTTTTCCACCGTATTCCCGCGGAGGGCTAGGTGCGATAAGATTGCTTCGATTTGCAGTGAGTTTCGTGCGAATGCGTAATTATAAGAAATATCGCAGGGCGGTCGAGCGGTATCAAAACAAATCGAAAATCAATCGGCGCTCTTCTGTTTTGTTGCGGGCGCACGAGGCGTATGATTAATACGCTATCGTCTGAGTTCCTTCATCATACGCACACTTATCTCTGGCGCACTCACAGCTAATGACGAAGTCCAGCGCTGACTAAGAAAGGACAAAGGCAGTTTTGCCGTACTGCATTGGGTTCTATTTCAAAAGAAATAGAACTCTGCCCAAAGCCGGCCAGAAATAACTTTATGATTGCGGAGCTTTTGCCAACAGGTTTTAATCACAGATGTGCTGAACAAATGAGGAATTGCTGTGCACGACGGTGGGAAAAACGAAACCGGTTGTTGGCCCAGCGCACATTTAATGGGTATTCCCTATTTGTTTCGGCGCTAATCACGTGAAGTGGGGAATAGGTGCCCGGAACAGAGCAAAACCTCTGTTCTTCCATAACAACCAGCATGATAAGCATTCACCCAGCCCAAGATAACTAAACTGAGCTCAATTGCCACCGGACAAACAGCAAACAACAAACAACGTGTTTATCTTACGGCTAACGAACGTGACGGATCCGTAACTGCAGCTGCATAATGAGCAATAGCTGATAAATCAAATAAATAAATGAAGTTCTGAATCTTCAACAGCGGCAGCTTACTCATTTCGGAGGAAGCAGAGCATGAGGAAATCTATACCAACTTTGCCATAAATAGTGAAATACTACTGTGAATAATCCACTCGTAAAATCATTCAGAAGCAGGTGTATTAACGTTCACCTCTAAAGTAATAATAATCTAATAGGCTTAACGGTTTGGGAAACCAGTTTGCATAAACATTCAGATCAATGGGTTTGTGGTACTCAAACAGTTGTAAACTACCAGTTCGGCTGGCAAATGTCTATTAAAGTCGTGCCTCTGTTTCTGGCATCAAACGAAAACAAAAAACAGAATTAAGGCTGAGTTAGGTTGGGCAATTGAGAAGCTGATGGGGCACATGATGTCCATGGAGCTTGTTATTGCAATTGAGACGAGGGCGACTAATTGAACGTGAGGCTAACTTTAAGCAGACGTTCGCAATCCATTCACCTCCATTGTTTCTGTGCCTTAATTACAGTTTTGCAACTAACTAAATGCTACGCCTTTGTAGAATCGACAGATTTCTAGCGAAATGACAACACATACGTTGATCTATGTTCCAAAAAGTAGCGATTCTTCAGTTCCTTCATGAAGGAGTTGCGCCTCTTGGGGTTTTCATTTTTGATCTCCGGCACGTCCTCACAGCACACGCACTTGAATCCCGATGGTTTCCCATCCAGGGATTGCTGGTGATGCAAAACGGTGCCGTTCCCATTCTCGTTCCCGTTCCCGTTCCCGCTCCCGCTCCCATTTCCGTTCTCCTCAGCCCTCAGCGATATGGACTTGAAGAACTTGTACATCGATTTCGGGCGGGGACGTGCGGGAGCGGAGCTGCGTTTGATTTTCAGCGAATTGTAGTTGGGCGGCGAGTGAGGACTGGACGTCTCATTGTTGTTATCACAGAAGCCGGTGGTTCCTGGCACCGCGGTGGCACTTTCGTGGTGGAAACCGCTCTTGGCCATCTTATCTGGGCGGCTCCGATGGCCGCACTCGCTATTATTGTTGTTGTTGTTGCACATGGCCAGATAAGCGCTCCACTGAGGTGCGCACTTCAAACACAGTGGCGTTAATTGTTTAGGCCGCTTTCAAGAAACCGGCACCGCAAGTCGAGAGACCTTTCCCGCACTGCGTCTAATCGTGAACTGAGCCAAAAGCCCCGAGCGAGCATGAAGAAAAGGTTCTCCCTACGGGTTTCGATTTCTGGAGAACCCGGCCATTCCAACTCGCACACCCACGAGAGAAGTGGGGGAGTACACTTCACGAGTTCCAAAAAATAGTGAATGTTTCGCTAGTTCACCCTGTTTTAGTTTCCAGTATAAGATACCTATTATATTCGCGACACAAGCTTCCACATTCATAAAGGTGTTTCTTTAAAATATTAATAAGAGTTTGATTTCGACTATTTTCTCCCAGTGCAGCAGCCTCGCCTTCAAAGAGCGCAAAACAAAAGGCAAAACAATAACAGTGAGCAACAACTGGGAGCAGCTAAGCGCTTCTTGTGATTATGGTTTTTTTTCGAGCTTTTTCGTGCTCACGGAAAAGTTCTCATAAGTGCCACTCACATGCTCTCGTTGTTGTTGCTTCGTTTTGTACAGTGTAAATAGTTTATATCTTTATGACTTGCGCCTGAGCGCTGCGACATGCGATTAATAGCCCCAGTGAAAAAAGTTGGTGCTGTTTTATGCCGTTTTCCGTATTTCTGATTCCTGGTTAGTGGACCAATCGACTTGGGAAACACGCATTCAACGCATATCTTCTAAAAGTATTTATAGGTCTGAAATTCTTAGGAACCACTGCATTTTGAATCGGAACATGGTTCAGATACTGACTTTTACCGCTAATTGCAAATCAATCAAGCGCATTTGACAAGTTTCTTTTCAGTTTTTACCCCTTAAAGTTGAAATTCCCTCTGAATGTTCGACTTTTATCTGCAGCCTTGCTTTTGGTATCATTGAATTAAGTGAGTCAGTGAATAAGTGCATATCCATCCGAGAAGTTAAGGAACTCGGTGAAATTTGAAGATTACATTGCAGGGCAGACCCAATGACGCACGACAAGTGGATATCTTCTCACTGGAGTAGGAAAAAGTAGCATTTCAGTATTATTAGAGGCAGTGGGACCCCAGTTATCTGTTATTCGGTGGCGAATGACGAATGCCTACTGTGCGTTGATTAATACTACAAATCGATTTATGAATTTGTTTTGCCACCTAGCCAATTGGTCGGGCGATAGAGATAAACCCTGGAGGGCCATGTTAAAGCTGAACACCTGACTACGCTGATTTCGGAGAGATAAAACCACTGAGATAGGACCATTGAACAAAAACCGAGCTTGGAAAATACATACTCAAAAAAAAACACTTTTTTTGACAAAATTCCTATAAAAATAAGCATTAAAACACATTCCGGGCTATTGACATTTTAGGAATATTTAGGCGTAAGAGAAACCCCAAGGGTGTTTTGCTAAGATAAGCAGTTTGACGTAGGAATTGTTTAGGAATTGCCGAAAATATGCGCACTTCTATATAATTCACTGGCTATCACAGCGATTTACTCACCCGCTGAAACCGCGACGCTTAGTGGACGATGAGAGGGCATCCGCCTTGCTGCGATTGCCTGTAAGATCGGAGTGAAATGCGTACAGAAAGGGCCCCAATGGCATGCAAAGTCGATGCACTTACTCTGATCCTGCATGTCGGATTTCTGGGAGCCCGCTGCTGCGGCTGCATTCGCTGCGGTTCCGGAACCGTGCTTGTGTGAGCCCGGCGGCGGTTTGAGCACTGAGACTGGAACGAGTCCTTCCTGCACGGCGGCATCGTCGTGCTGCGGATTCAGGCGCACCAGGCAGAAGTCCGGCTCTCCGGCGGTGGGCGGCTCCACAATCTCCACCTGCTGCCCCTTGGTGACGCTCAGCTCATTGCTGCCCGAGGTGGCGATGTAGTCCGCCACCACCCAGGTGGCCTCCTGGTTGCCCAGCTGGAAAGGATAAGCGGAAGGTCGAGGTGTAAGTATCGGGTGGCGCAGTTAACCCATTTCGGGCACAAGGAAATTTCTTTTTAAAAATGTTTACTTAAGTGGCAATATTATGTCTAGTAGCTCAGCTCTTATTTGAATATAAATTGATATTCATAAGCCGTATTCAGCTTAAATTTACCCACGATGGGTGCATTTCGTTTGAAAATGAAGGAAAATCTAGGAAAAGGCTAAGCAACGCCCATCATCGCGCCAATGATTAAACGAGATTTTATGAGCCATAATAGCGGCGGCATAGCCGGTTTGCGGGTTACGTGTGAAAGGGTTAACATGCTCGGGTCGAGGTCGAGGTGGAGGCCCACGGCGCTATTGATTGACCCCCGGAACAAAGGCCGAGGACTTTGAGGGTTTCAAGGATCATCGGCAGAGCGAACGAACTAATTAGAAAGCCATTCGAGCTTGGCACACGTTCATTGTGCCACGAGGAGCACAGGCACCGAGGCACCGAGGCACCGGAAGGCGGAGCACTTCCGTCGGATTTGATTGGCGGCAGGCCACCAGAACCAACCACCCACCTAATCAGCCCCGCCCAGAATCCTTTGCCCCACCCCCCACCCCCCGCCGCCCAAAACCCCCCTTCTCTGCGCATTAATAATGTACAAGTTTACTAATTTACATGCGGCCCATCGCAGGGTGTCGATATGTGGGCGTCTGTCGGAACTTTAAAGCTGCAGCGGAAAATTGTGCTTAATCGCTAATCGATTCCATTGGATTCTCCTGGGGATTGATGGTTCAAACCACCTGCTCTTCAAGCCTTTCAGATATATGGCTCGGTTTATCACTGCATGGATTATCGAACTTTAAGAGCGCCTAATCCAGTTTGAAGCGACAATTAAAAGGCTGTAATTTCTGTACACGCGCAGGGCTGAAATATTTGAGCATTATATGACATTCCCCCAGCGCCGGGGATCATATCTATTTCACATACAATATTTATGTGGGACGCGCCATAAACTGGCAGAGGCAGCAGGCTGCATGGAAACACCTGACAGGCGGCTCTGTGGCATGGGGCATGGGCCAAATGAGGAAATGATGTCGCCAAGGCAAACGGCGGTTCACAGGGGGTGGTGGGTGGTGGGTGGAGAGGAAAATGGAAAATGGAAAATGGGAAGCAGGGGGAGTGTGCTGGCGCTCATAAGCGCAATTAAATCAACTTCATCAGCGGACAGGAGCAAGAGCAGCGGCAGAGAGCTTAGTTTATTATGCTCGCCTCGCTGCCTTTAGCCTCTGCACGAGTGTGAGTGTTCACTTTGTACACTCAAGAAAACGCTAGTTACAAAGGCCAAGTTATTTATATAAGCAGCTTAAAATCGTAAATGAGTGCCCATCCTAGAAAGCAATCCGGGTATAATGCGTAACCTTCTCAGCAGCAAGGATAATACCGCAAGATATGTGGTTCCAGTCCAAGTTCTCAGTGTACGCACACACACACACACACACACTGTGTTAATTAAGCAGCACTGACACGGAAACGTGCCGCAGTGTTAGTAGGCAGTGTGTGTGTGTGCTCGCACGTTTCCGCTTGTAATGCAATTAGTTGAAAAGTTTCCGGGGAAAAGTTTGGAAAAGTTTTTCGACAACAGGCCTTGCACGACAGGGGCTGCCAAATTATTTTTTCATTTTTATTTATCTGGCGCTCTTAAGTTGCCACTCAGCCGCAATGAAAATTGATTGGCGGCCAACATAAAGGAAACAAATCAGCGGAAAATGTTTTTAAGCTGACTTTAAGTGCGTCGAGCGCCTTTTATGCTGCAGCGAAAACTTGCCGCATAACTCCTGCACACGCCGGTGGCGTATACGCAATGTGCGCCTCATCATAGCCGTCATCATCATCATCAGGCATTATCATCATCTCAGTGTGCTGCAAATTGCTGCAGTCACGAACACGCACACGCACACGCACAAGCACACGCACACTAACCCAGACTCACAATCGCACTAATAAGCTGCCAGGAGGCACAATTTTCCCCCTCATTTTCCACCAGCCAGTTGAGAAAGTGGCAAAGTGAAAACCAGAGGCAAAAGCAGCTGTCAGGAATCAGCAAAATCAACTGGAATAGGGGAGCGCTTTAAGTCGACTGGTAGCCTTTGCAGCTCCATTACTTATCCACTTTCACCGAAAATGAACCCGGCTTTCTTGTACTACCGAGTTTTCCGTTTTATTGTGGCTACAAATTAAGTTCATGCTCGCCTTTGTTTCGCCTTTTGACTGGATCTTTCATTAAAATAATGAAAGGATATTCCAGAGCAAAGAAGGGGGAAACTCGAGCAAATGCAAAGGAAAATGGCACGAGTTTTTCCAGCTGCAAAATGCAATCAGCGCTGCCTTGTTGGTTTACGTCTTTGCCGCCTACGTTTTTGCATAAAAATAATTAACATGGCTTACAGTTTCTTCTGCGCATTTGCATATTTAATAGGCGACTGGCGCAAGGCTACCAGCTAAATTTAAAAGTTCGTCGCAACAGGAAACGAACAATCTTAAAGCTATCGGGACCCATAAATTGGCAGTCTCAAACTTCATCTATTTTCCATGGGTAATTGAAAACTTTCCAGGCGGATTTGCATAGCTGAAAAGGGGAAAACAAACAGAACGAAAAGCGAAGGCCTAGAATGCAGTCGAAGTTGGGGAAAACTTTGCAGCTCGAAGTCCTGGGAGAAAGTCCAAGGGCAAAATTCGTTGACAGTCGACACTCGCACTTCAAGGGCAAAGTTTTTTTCCCAGGAAATTTTACTCTCGCTGCTGATTACATGCTGATAACAATAATAGCTTAGACTCGGAACACAGAAAACAGACTCGCAAAAGGAAAAGGCTCAGCCGGAAAATGTGCGCCTTTTCCCTTTTCCCTCTTGACGGGCAAATTGTAAAGCGATTTGGCAAAATGTTTACGTTATTATTGATGGATCTCCCCCCACGCTCGCCCCTCCCGCAAGGCCAGGATTATGGGGCGTTGGGCACGCTTTCCCCACATTGTATGTAAGTCCATGTCTCTTTTGCCTTTCGAGGAGGGATCGTAAAAACGCAATTGCTGCGACGACGACCCAAAAAGCCATCAATTGTTAAGTCATTAAAAATGTGTTTGGGCATGGGACTCGAAGGAGGGGCACATGAGAGCAAACGTCAGGGTTGTCAAGTGAAATTACAAACATCATTTAACTGATTGGGATAATGGCCCAGCAAGCTGTTTCCTGCACTGAGAAAATAGGATGCCAAAGTCTGACTGCAATACGAGGTTGAAGAATTTTTCTCTTACACTGTGCTTTCAAGGCAACCATTTAGCCAAATTCCATCGACGTTCGGGTAAACATTTCGTAGAAGATGGCGGGCAGTGCGCATTTAAAGCAGCCACTCCCAAAATTCCCAAAATTCGGAAATTCATATATCCAGTACATCAGAGGTTCTCGCACGAAACGGTTCCAAGATGTTGCAGTCAAGGAAAGCTACTTTGTGCGCATTGGTCCTGCTGTGCCTGTTTTTTCTGCCCGAGACGAGCCAAACTCAACTGGACAGGATTGAAGACAAAGTGAACGATATGCGGAGAAAACTAGACGGAATCCAATCCTTACTATCTAATGCCGACAGGAATCGGAATGCACAACTAAATAAGCTCATGGGTTCCTCGCTCTTGAACGCTCTTTATTCGCCAGGAGGGCAATGAAGATCATGTGTGTCATATCATGTATAACTCTAACCGAAATAAGCAGATTGTTCGATTGGTTTTTTTTTTTGAGTGGAATCAATTTTTGGGAATTTATTAAATAAAGCTTTAAACTGCAAACTCAAAGGAGCTTTCCTTCGATCGACTTGCTTTGAAGCGGGATATTGAGTGGAAGGGCGAAATTCTAGACAGATTTCGTATGCCAGTTGTTGCTTGGCTGGCATTTGTACGCCTAAATGACCTCATGGGCGCCATAAATCACACAGATACGCCAAATACGAGCGGGAGGGACCTGCTGAAATATATACATAAATACAAAACACATTTGTGTGAAAATAAATGTGTGTACTCATAGATAGCCGCAAACTGGCTGTGTTTTCTGGGCTACATAAAACATAAACGTCTATTATTCAATTAACTCGCACAGTGGGTCCGCAGCAGGTGCGGCAGGGGTCAGAGGTCGATCCCGGGCCCCGACGTCAATTACGTTGTGGCAAACACCCAGTCGGCAAGATGGCAAACAACAGGCGGAAATGGAAGTCCTTGGAAAGGATGGGCAGCAGTGCACAGCTAAAAAAACCAGGTCCCTATCATCTGAATATTCGCAGGTTAAACACATGCCAACCAGCTTTGTAGCTTTTTGATAAGTGTATAATTAACAACTAGCAAAGTGGTTAGAGTGTCTAGGAGTATGCAAGTCTGAAGGAACTCATATCTTTAATTGCAAGCCCAGCTTAATGAAATGATTTAAATATTTTATCACTTATTTGCTTTTCCTATTCTCTACAAACTACTCTCCCAAACATTCGGTTTCTTGTGTAGCTATCGCTCTGCGGTCGAGTAATTGTACGACTTGTTAACACCAAAAGCAACCGCATTTCCCCCGCATCCACATCCACCCATCGATAGGCCATTGTCTGGCTCGCCTGCTAACGTGGCTCATGGGCGGCCTTTGGATGGAGATGGGGGTGTGGCTTGCAAGTGGGCGTAAGTGCTGAATGAAAGTCATTTACAGCGCAAATCGAATAATATTCCAAATCAATTACGTGCAACTACGACATGATCGAGATCGATAAGGGAAACAGGAAGAAGTTCCGCTCTTTTTACTGGCACTGGGCTTTTTCGACGCTTGTGTGGATAACAATTTAATTACTTAGTATCACTAAGTAGACTCCTGTTTAATAATTCAGTTATTCCACTACTACAGGAGTGTCTGCTGTCGCTCTGTACGTGAAAAGTCAAGAAGGCAGCGGGAATTTAATGACCGATGAGCATTGGCAGAGCAGC